GAAACAGAAATACATCATCTGTGAAATTTGAACTGTTTATCTATCATGATTATTGAGATGCAGCTTTGTTAGAGACATACAGACAGACAGGCGGACAATGGAATCTTAGTAATAGAGTCCCGTTTTTAACCTTAAAAACACTTGGAACCCTAAAAAGACTATTTTGTAATTGGTCCAGGCGGAAAACAGATTGCGACGAATTGAGAATATCCTCCTTTTTTGAAGTCAGTTAAAGATACTACTTTTATGGCGTCCGTCCGCGTCGTTTGATAGTTTCTCTCCTTATTTCGTCACTAGACGTGAAGGCAGACAAAACATAAAAGCAGACAGCTTGCCGCCTACAGTAATGATTGTGACATCCTGAGTATTTGTGTTTAGAACTAAGCAGCAAATAAAAGGCCCATTTGCCTTGTACTTTTGGCCTCGATTATACACCCACTAGTTGCACTTGAAAAGCCGATATAAGAAGACCTGCAGCTCTTACCTTTGCTGTTCTGAGTGTAAGGTCAATTAAAGGTGGTTAAATGCGATGTTGGGAGCGGCCCGCTGCGTGACACCCGGCCGTGTGTCTTCTGAAGCAATGCCGCATGTAATTAATAATTAGGCGGACTATTGTGAAGGACACTGATTTTGCAGAGGTATCGTTAAGTTTGAAGGCTAATTAGACCTGGTAATTAACGGTAGTAGGCTTATCCACGAAGAGTAAATAACTAAAACACATTACTAAAGCAATAATAGAAAGTATCTGTAGACAATAAAATATTTTTTTATATAATTCTGAACTTAATTAATATTTTGAGGAGGTTTTGTAGTCAAAAATAACTAAAAAAATACCAATCAATCTTTTTGACCACGGAGCATGATACGGATCCGAAACGCGAAGAATAAAATAAACAATCAATAAATCGCGCTTCATACTTGTTTGAAAACAACTAATTCGGAATTAAAATTAATCGAGTGTGAGCAAAAGAAAAACAGAACGTGCCATCGCAGAGCTAAAGTACTTTCCTTGTGCATTTTTGTCTTTGAGTAGGTACTCTAAGATTTTTGGTAACTAAATTAAGTGTAAACGATAGGACACGAAAGCTAGTTTATTGTGTCCGAATATTTTTTGTCCGTGTCGTCAGCGACTATATTACAACCATACTAGATAGCATACAGAACTATACTAGATAGCAGACAGCTCTGGTTTCTAAAAGATACAGAAAGAAGACAAGAGTGCAAGAAAGCGGCATTAGAAGCCTGGCTATCTTCCACAATGTGTTGTCCAGCCCCCGTAGCATGACCACTACAATTTACATTATATCACGTTTTATATCGCGTCTAACTGTCAAACTTCATAGTAATTTGACAGTTGAGCATGATAAAAATGCGTTATATATCCTATCGCGATGCTCATGCTAGGGGGGGCTGAGGACTGCATAGCAATACCCCAAGCGCTTTCGATGATAAGGAGACCCGCGAACAAATTGTCTAACTTTTTCTCTTTAGCTTTCCTTCTTAAAGCTAAATAAACAGTGTTAATATGATGGTCATATCTCTATCCCAACTATGAAAGGAAAGGGATGGCGGAAAGTTAAATTCAGAAGATTCGGCCCCTGGTAATGATTCGACAACCTAAATGTTCTGAGTTACTTGCACCAGTTTATAGTAGCAAATAGCACTGTAGAATTCTATATTTTATACTTAGAGAGTTAGTCTCCAGGTCTTGGGTGATTTGTCGTAATCCCAGACAACATAGTTTAGATCAATGGATATATAATATTCTATGAGCTAAACATATTTAACTTCGTGGAGGTAAATAATCAAGCATCTTTAAGCTAAGACGTTCAAGAGATGCTAAGTTTAAGTGTGTGACGCAACAGGCTTTTAATCAGATATTACAACTGGTCAACACTATAATCTTTATGAAACAATCGTTAGTTTATTTTTAATTCATACGGCCGAATCAATCTTGTGTGCCGTAACCGTTCGACGGGCAATCACGTCTGCTGATCCGACGGATTTGAACCCGTGACCCTCGCTCCCAGCTTCATTTAGGTCCGGAGCTTTCACCGAGTCGATTTGTTTCGTGAGTACCTACCTACGTAGGTATTGTGCCTTGGTGGATTGACATATTATTTTTTCGTATTTATTCTTCATTCATCCCAGTATTTTGTCAGTCTATGCTTTTGTGAAAGGATAAAATTAAATGATCATGAACATAGAACACTTGGAGAACGTTAATTTGGTTGGGCGCCCCAAGTACCGCTGGAAAGACAAGTATTAGTCAAGGATCTGTTCGAGCTGCGAGGAACAATCGACCAACAAAAAGCTGCACAAGAAAGGGAGTAGTGGCGTCATAATATCGTGTCGGAGGCCAAGATCCACTACGGTTCGCTAAGCCAGCGAATTAAGTAATTTAAATATGATGGACTACATGGCTTAGCTGTTAGTAATCAGCCGCCCGGTTCTTTTTCAGGAGGAGGTCAAAGATTTTGCAATGCACACGTGTACCTATATTTTTATTAAGTAGGGACTTTCTTAAGTATGGCTAATTTATATTTCGTCACTTAGGTATGGCTAATTTATATTTCCTCACTTAGCTATGGCTAATTTATATTTCCTTACTTAGGTATTTCTAATTTATATTCCTATTTTTATAAGATAGGTAAGTAGTAGGCTCCTGTTGTAGGTTACAACCGTCTGTAAAAAGCAAACGTGGCATTCATATAGGCAAATAAGTAAGTAAGAGAAGTTTGGCATATTGGATTTCCGCTCGAATTTAAGCGCCTGTCTGGGGAAGTAACCTCCACCTTACAGAAGACAACAGTAACATAACACTACCTTTTGGTGGTGTTCCAGGCCTCCACGGGATTGGGATAGGGTAGGCAAAGGTGTGAATGATATTTTTGCAATCGTAAACGCCTATTGGCTATGGTGACCGCTTACCATCAGGCGGGCTACAAGCTTGTTTCCCACATTTTAACCATAAAAAAATATAATAATGATTAGTCAGAATAATGATTTTTTATTATAATATAATATAATTATTATAATATAATATAATAAAAAATCATTATTCTGACGATGCAGACCTGAAAAGGCTGCGAAACGTCAATAAATAAATAAAGTTTCGTGCATTAACCCGTAAAAACTAGTTTTATTTAATGAGTGATGTGCGTGAAAACCTAAGAAACAAATAAAAAAATATCTCCACCTATAAAAGTTATTTTTTGTAATACACAAATACAAAATGGCCATGTGATTTGCCACCATACACACAGCAGTCGTTATCCAATTCGATCCACCCACCCAGTCTGTTGGTAGTAATACTTAACAGCTTAACATTAAGTAGGTATATCACTATTATCTTTCATAAAAGAGATTTTATCGGGATGTAACTTTTGATAAAGAAACTATGAGGTAACATTCCCGAAAATAAATGTGAACATTTATGTAGCTAGCGTGGGCTAATATTTTGGTCAGTGGCAACTTTGTTACATTTAAAAATTACATCAGTCGCATAATAAACTTTAATACTTGTTTGAGTCATATTTCCAAAACGCGAACATGACACCAAACTGACGGACAATAGAACTAGTCTTAGTAGTGTAGGTAGCAAGTATTGTAGAATGACTAAATAGCATTTTATTTTACGGGCTCCAATACAACAATAAGTAGTACTATTATACTTTTACAGGGTCCCTTGGGGCTTTTGCGCCCTGGGCAAGTGTAGTTGTTTCAAATAACTCGTTACTGTTTTAGTGTTATTGACGAAATCTATCTATATGCAGGTCATTAAAAGTTCCTCTTCAGAGCCATAGATGCCACTTATTTAAAAAATGAAACAGTAACGAGTTATTTGAAACGGCCACATTTACCCCCTGGCTACAGTAGCCCCGGGTGACCTTACATACGTAATTTTAAAACTTTTTATGTTTCATTTTATTCTGCTCTAGTGTCAGAAGCTTAGTTAAATCAACGGAAAAATTACCTACTTCAAACTTACAAAACTTACCTTTGTATTTTCTAGTTTGGATATACAAGATTTAAAAAAAAAATGCAGAAAATTTTAAATATTGAAGCTTATTCTTTGTTATTATTTTAACCAAGTTTGTCGTTTTTTTTTCAAGATTTATACATTAATATTTTCAAAACGTTATTTAGAAACTTTTTTATCGACGCACTTACACACATACACACAGGCACATTCTTTACGTAGCGCCACAGTAGCGCGCCGCGCTATACATTGCGTACAGGAAAAAAAAAATTTTTTAACTTAAAAATATAAAATTTTCCCACCTATAATATTTTTTAATATGACTTGTTTGGGTGTACAGAATGCGTAGTTTTTGTCTTTGTTATAGGTTTTTTTACACCCTGTTTTTTTTGTTGCAAGTAAATGATTTTTCTGCTTGATGTTTAAATCTAAAGAAAATATAACTAGAAAAAATTCCACGCGGACCAGACAGCAGACGGGACTCGAACCCGCACCCTTCGCTATCCGGGCGAAAGTATTTTTTTTATTATCATTAAATAAATTTTAACATAGAACAAAAGGCAACAATATTTATTGTCACCTTTGTTAAGATTTATCATTATCTATTATCCAAATAATGATGAATAAAAAATGAAATGACGCTTGACTAGATCCACTTCAAGTGCCATTAAAAATTGAGTATTATGAACAAATTTGGACATAAATATAATTATAGGACTAAGTTTTTAATTTATAATAGAACAAATTTATTTTAATGAATTTCCAATAAAGTTTAAACAAATAGTAAAAGAAAAATAAAGGAAAATAGTATGTAAATTAGTTTGTCTCAAACAGTAAAAATTATTATAACAAATAGTTAAATGAAAAATTAGATTCCTAGACAACTCTGTCTCAACTAACGTCGTAGTACATATTGTACTTACGTACGACTTCATCACAACAGCGTAAGTACTTACCCCACATCAAACTAATCTATTCATCTTAGATGTTATGAATGATTAGTGTTACCTACATTTTCCGGCTTTTCAGAAAACGGTTTCATGATAGCGTGGATCGGAACGCACTGTATCGTCCGTCAGACTGGTATCCGATGTCGGGACGTAGAGACGCGCGCGCCCGCGGCCGCGCGCCTCTTATCTCTTATCAGCCCTTATCAATTACTCATCGCGAAACCGATCGCCTCGATACTTCACCGCGCAAATAATCACACCCGTACCAGATGAGCTCGTGGCTACCATGCATCGGAAAGTGCTGTGTTTATGTGTGGTGCTTCTCCTGGGATATGCCGACGGTCAAGGTGATGTATTGTTTGTCTTATGGTTAGGTAGGTGATAAGAACACGAAAAACTGAAAAACTATCCGCCTGATTACAAAACGTGGACTCAAGTTAAATCTGGACTAAAACTGATGCTGTCACTTTTGTTTGCTAAAAAGAAGACGGAGACAACATTAGCTTTAAACCAAGATTCACTTTAGTCCGCGTTTTGGAATAAGGCGGTTAGTATGTAGCCGTGGTGTTTCAAGGCTCATTTACATTATAGAATTAGTCATAACTATATATTAACTACACCAGCACTTGAAGTGTACTGTAGACAACAACTCGAGTTTTCACTAAGTGTCAATATTTCTCAATCTCTTGCGATATTTTTCTGTATAAATATACCTACCTAGAGCTCAAAAGTCTGTTGAAGTGTTAATCTTCAATTACTTTACCCGAGGCAATCCACATACCTAATAAACTTAATATCTTTCAGTTCAGTAATACAATATAGAAATATTTAAGAATGGATTCGAAGATTTTATGACTTTTTAATTTCGATAAAGGAGGATTAGCCTATAATTCAAATGCCTTTACATATTGTATCAAACAACAAATACCTACGGTGAAACAATATCTTAAGAAAAACCTTAACTATAATTTTACATCTATGAGATTATCCTGCATTGCAACAGTGATGTCATTCGAGCGAATAATAGTCTTGACAATAAAGAAATACGGCAGCAAATATATTAAATGTTTTACCTTGAGGCTTCACCGAACGCGTCATTGTACGAGTAACTAACTATAACTAATGCGCGTAACAGCACACGCAACTTCGAACTCCCAATATTGTAAAAGGTAAATAAGATTGCTTCTAAAAGGAGACGCGTGGCGTCAGCGGGCAGGACCGATTAAAACAAAATAAAAGTAAATCCTTATCTGAACACGGACGCGGACGTAACTTCAAAAGATTTATTTTATGTCTTGGCGTTCACCAAAAATAACTGTAGCACGTGCCAACGATCACCTGTTACGGGCATTAGTTTAACTCGAATGGAAACGTCCCACAAGGAATTGACATTCTTATTTTTAGTGTATGAGAGAAAGGCTCGCTTCTGACTAACGAACTACACAAATGTAGCTATTTAGGTATTGGGCCCGATAACGTAACTTGCAGTGCAGCTGAAAAAACATGTTTCAAGATAAAGCGTTAACGCGAATTATTGGACACACGAGCATTGTTGATATTGACCAGATTTTAATGTATCGAATTCCATTGCATACGACGAATTTCATGATAATTATTACTAGTACATATTTATTATTATTTGTTGTAAATATAAATGATACTTTTAACCAACTTCAAAAACGATGAGGTTCTCAATTCGTCAGTCTATATTTTAAGACAGTACATAACAAATTAAGCAGCTAACAAAAGGCAGAATAGTTTCACGAAACATTAATTTTCTTTATGAAAAATTTTAATGCTCAATTTCTCATATAAGGTACATACAATAAAACCAGCTTTATTGTGCTAAGTATAAGTACCTACTTCAAAATCGCTTATATGTATAAATTGACATGGTAATAAATAAACTTACACATCTTAACAAAGATCACAAGGCAATTTGTGAATTCCCTTGGGAAAGTCATCCGACAATGAATGACGCGACAAAATCATAGTTTTGTCTTCGATCTCTCTTTGTGGAGTCAATTAGATACGTTAGTTTCATTGTGGGCTAGAGGTAAGTGGGTTGAATAGAAAAGGGCACGGCGGCATCGGTTCACCAAAAACAATGCACCGGTATACATTGCATGCATTGAATATAAAACGGCTAATTCTGATAGGTACCTTATAGTAAGTACCTGTTGCGTTAACGAAGTACTTTATTAGGAGTTTCTATTTTACATGCCATATGATCAGATCCTTACGGATATGTTATTTTGAACATTGACCTGCTGCTGCTGCTACATTTGTAAATATAAAGAATATAGAGAAAATTGTTATTAGAAAAATATTCAAGTACTGAATAATTGAAAGTGAAGTAACCAATCAGTTTAGAAATAAAGAAAAGAAGTGCTAGGCCCCATAGCAAAGTAAAACAGGAATTGCAGTTAGAGATATTACTTGTTTTTTTTTTATAATGAAGTAAGCTAATGACTACCCCACGTGATAAAGTCCAAACGCGAAGATAGCTGGTACAGCAGTTATAAACTACCACACCAACCGTCCTCACTTTGCCGGCCTGCAAAAATGCTTCTTTACGCCTCTCTAAAGGACCTCAGATTGTAGGAAGGAGGGAAAACGTACGCGGGCAAAGAATTCCACTTATGAATAGTACGACAAAGAAATGAGTCTCCTCACCACATTTCTTTGTTCGTGTACGTTGTGGCTACAGTAAGTCGGTGGTAACGTAGGCCAGCGCGCGTGGTCCTCTGTAGAAAAGGTGATGGAGGGATAAGAGAGAATAACTCCTCAGAACACTCACCGTGGTATAGTCGGTAGAATGCGTTTAATGATGCCACATCGCGGCGTAATTGTAGAGAATTTATAAGTATCGTTATTTTATTTCCTAATAAACGCAGCAGTTGAAATATAAAAATAAAAGTTAAGGCATAAAATGCAACAATTAAACTTTTGTGAGAACGTCGTCGATGAATAATTACGTCAGCATATTTCCTTTATAAAAACAACAAAACAAAAACCTTGGTTACATCACTATTTATTTCATCGATTACTTAAAGTTGTTGAAAGTTCACAAGATAATGTATACATGGTATTGATTTATACACACTTTTTCAAGATTAACCTTTGACGTTCAATTATCACCTATAACGTCTAGTTAACGTCGACATTATCTTAAAATAGTTAATTCAACGTAATTGCTGGCCGTCGGGCTGGTGCAAGCTTATCGGCGATCGCATCAGTTGAGCAATACTCTATTAGCCCAAATATTATAGACACGTGCTGTCATTTATTGTTTAATCGTTCTTATTTTATCGATGAATCGATTTATTTTATACTTATCAAAAAAGTCTATAAGCAACATCTACAGTTTTGAACTACTAAACGATTTTTACTTTTGTTTTATATTTATACTATACTATTTTAAACCCAATCGAAAAGTTTATATGTTTAAAATCACCCAATTATCCGATTACCTAAGAAAAAAATTATATCAACAATTAACAAAACATAGTTACAGTTTCTGTAAATGATGCCTCATGCTTAGGCTTTTTTGATGTGTGTATTACTCTAAGTTGTGAACGAAGTTGGTTCTGCTAATCTCTTTAATATGTTTAACTCTTTCATAAATGTATGTACAGTGATCCTTTTATAGCAATTATTTTTATAGGATTTATTGTTTGGTTTTCAGACATTTCATATGTTTTCAGATATTCGATGGTAGAATCTGATGCATTGGGCACCGACCCACACACATTACGACTAACATTTATGGCAACAAAGCGTGCATTACACACCTGCACACCAAACATGAACAAGTGTTAAGGTGGGACAATTTTTATCCGCACCTTTAGATATCCCACTTTCGAAGTTCAGTGTGAAGGTGGCAAAACCTGGATTCCCATATCAGTGTTAAAGCAGGGAATTGAATTAATAATGGAAATAAATAATTAATTGATTTGGATAGGAAAACTATCGAAAAACTTTAAGGCGAATTCTAAGGAAAAAATATCTTCAGCAAGAAGCGTTCCCTCTTTTGGAGGGAGGAGATCTCGCGTTAATATCAGCTAGCTGTTCTACTCTTTGGTCTACAAAACACATTTTTATATTTATTGAACTACGTTTGACAATATAACAAATAGGAATATTTACTAGAACAGCAGAGTCGAGCTTCCAGTATTATTACGTTCTCCTTGTTTAGACTTTCTTCGGGTTTACTAGCATCTAAATAAAATAACTACTTTTTTATTACCTGCCAATCTCCATTGTTCTCGAGGCCTGCGAATGATAATTTCCTGACTCACACTGGTAGGACAGAGTTTGCATCCGTATCACCATTAGCTAGTGTTAAGGTAGGAACATTTCTTTTTCCACCTTAAAACTGGTGTTAATGATTAGTGGGTAATGCGCGGCAACAAAGAAACTTGACAACTTTCTTGTCTTTCGTATCTCTGTTCGCTTGTTTTCAAGCACATAAATCTTCAACAATTCTATAGATAACAAGGAACAAAGATAAAGGTCAGCGCGTAAAATCCGTCTCGGTAAATAAAGCCTCACTTGAGACGTGAGATCTTATTTTAAATTAGTTCGGTTAATAAAAAACGTAACACGCTGGCCAATGACTGGTAAACATATTTTATTTTGTGGTTCATAAGGTTGATTTCACATTTTCCTTTTTTTACCTTTATCATTTATTTTCCAAGTATCAGATATAATTTATAAAAGGAACAAGAGTTCGTTTTATAAGATAAAAGGTCGTATGTGTAAAATAACTTTTGTTATTTGTAACCTTATTCCTTCGTGAGATAGTTATTATTGGGTTCAACTTAAACTGTTTTAAAACATTTATCTTTGTTCATTGGGAATCGAATGTAGCTGCATAAGTTTAGACATACGCGAACAGTTTTTAGCTTTGATTTTGTATGCAATGCAAGAACTGTTGATCGAAGACATACATTAATTAAGTACTTTATTTCAATGATATTACGTATATATTGACTTTACTTACCTTCTTCTTAAAAGCAAATGTGTAAATAAGGCAAATGTGATGAGAAAAAGGACTGCCGCAGGGTTAGGGGTATATCTTCATGGCAGTGCTTTGCGGATAATTTGGGCTACACACTTCACTTCGCATCTTACTCCTAAAGTTAAAGTAAGCTACGCTAAAAAGAGCCGCGCTAAGTGCCGACATTTGTCCCATTAATGGGACAAAATCCTGGGACAACGAGAAAACATGCAGATTAGAGACCAAAAAAATGCAGTTCGCCTAACTAGGTGAATTGCAGTGTGTCCCAGTGCATTGTAGACAAGCTCATAGCACCAAGCGCGGTACCATAGAGATAAGTGAAAATATATTTAAAGATAATTTTCCTTTCACAAAATTCTTTGGATAACGTCAAAATGAGCGTTGCAATTTTACTACAATATTGCTCCAAAAACGTCATAATTTTATCAAATAATCATCGTCCCTATTATGACACGCGCGTCGATCACGTTAGGTGTTAATCTAGTTGGCTCGTAATCTCGTGCTGTTATACGCCCACACAAATTGTGTCAACACACTCACCAACATCTATTCAGTTGGTGGCCTATTTTTTAATATGTTCTACTTAGTAAGCGTTTTATCCTGATCTCAATCCTAGTCAACATTGTCGATTCTGACATGATTCCCTAAACCTAAACTTAAATTTGATAACAGTGTATCTTTGTCATTATCTATACAGAATAAAATGGAGCAACTGTTAAATTTAGTTTTAAGCTAAGAGAATCATGCCAGAATCGACACCAACGAATACTTAAAATGTTTATATATTTATTAACTTATATAAATCGTGAATTTTTAGTCTCCGGAGAAATTTAAAAATCCTGTAAATAAAATAACTTTCTACCACAAAAATTAAACCACCAAAAAGTAGAAAATAATAAATCTTTGTTATCTTTAGTCAAATTAATAATTGGAGTCGTAGCCATTGCCAGGCTAACCCAAGTAGTAAATGGGACCTCGGATCTATCAGACCTGCATGATGGCACCAAATCCAAAATGTTAATTTGACTAAAGATAAAAATAGTTTATTATTTTTTACTATTCGGCGGTTTAATTATTTTGTTAAGAAGATTTTATTTTACAATTTTAAGAGGCTATTATTTTTGTAATATACAACTCGGCATCAAAATCTGTGAGTGAACAATCAATCATCGCCTGTTTTCATATCTTTAGGGTTGGATTTTTTTCGAATTTATATGGGACTAACTTCGGGTATACTTTTCCCTTTCCAATAAAGAAAGAATTATCAAAATCAGACTACTCTGTAATAAAATATGTGTGGTCATACATTACAATCAGTGAGTGAACAATCAATCATCCCCTGTTTTCATACATTTAGGGTTGGATTATTTTTCCAAATTCATATTGGACCAACTTTGGGGTATATACCCCTATCAATATAAAAAAATCGCAATCTATCAATCAAATATCAAAATCGGTCTACTCTGTAAAATGTAATGCGTGATCATACATAAAAAAAATATATACGCGTCGACTTGAGAACCTCCTCCAATTTTTCGTCGGTACAAACAGTGATAAACAGTACCTAAATCGTGCCTAAATATACTACACCCCCATACAAAAATATTAATTTATATCGTTTACAATATATCCTAAAACGGTGCAAATTAGTAAATAGCATACTTATTATTATTATCAGTATGCAATTATTATCAGTCTAAAGTATGTAGATCGTAGTTTTATTTGAATCAAATTTATGACAATTAAAAATGTACTGAGTTAACGTGGAGAAACTTTTCGTTTTTTGCAGTATTATAACTTTAATTTTATCAAAATTTGCTGATAAAGTTGTATAAAAAAGGTACAAAAGAAAGGCGGACTTAATGATATATACCATCCTCTAACAGTTAATCCTTGGGAGAAAACAATAAACAATAACGGCGATAGGTATACAGGGCTTCCCACGGCTACCTCACACGGAGGGAAAGTATATTAAATATTGAAGTAAGGATATTTTACTGAAAGAAGACATCATTTTATTTTTAATAATAACTAGAACTGCATTCACAGATTTAAAAAAAATCGCCTGCTACAACTGGGAATCAAACTCGTGAAATTTCTAAAAAAAAACATTTTATAATAACCATCGAAAGGGTTAATCATAAGGATTATTTTTTGCTCAATAACATAGCATTTTAAATGAAAGAAAAGTAATTTAATTTAGCATTTTATTTAAAATTATTCAAATAATATAAAATCGGATACGCCTCAAAGTAAGTTAAAATGTTGAGTTCAACATCCAAGTATCCACTAACCTTTGAAACACATATCGAAAAGGTACGTCTCTATCAGGATATCTTTCGCGGTACCACCGCAAAGCTAATATGTCTTTGTGGTTCATAAAGTAAGCATCCATTAAATCCATGTTATTTTGATACCCCATGGTAAGTAAATTAACAAAAAATTGCGATTTTAAAAAAATCTGTGAATGCAGTTCTAGTTATTATTAAAAATAAAACGATGTCTCCTTTCAGTAAAATATCCTATCTTCAATATTTAATATACTTTCCCTCCGTGTGAGGTAGCCGTGGGACACCCTGTATAAATATCAGTTACTTATAGAGGAATAATTTTAATATAATTACATCTAATACTAAGGTAGCAGGTTCAGAAAATTTATAAATTTAAATATACTAAAAAATATCAAAGTACCATTTAGCTACGAATGAAGAGGTCGCACCTTAAAAGTAGCAAAAGAAAAGTTTTTCTCGCATGCACTCAATCAAATAGAAGAATTTAAAGGTTTTACATATAAAAGTTTAAGTTTATAATTCATATGCATAGCATACTCATTTTACACACTTCGTAGAAACAAGTCGGCTGTACGCAGCTTAAGTAGCTCAGGCGGAATAATAATTTTATTAGTAGGTAAACACAAAAGAGGAGCTTGGTCTAGCTTTCAGGGGTTACTTGCGTAGAATAAACAATATAAAACCTACTTACAGCAACGTACAGCAACTCTTCAGGCTGTCCAAAAAAGTCAAATTCTTTATTCATTTTCTTTTTTTTCTTTTTTTATAGCGAGGTAGGCAAATGTCTCTATCCCACCTGATGTTAAGTGGTGATAAAGTTCAAACTCGAAGAAAGCTGGTACAGCAGTTATAAACTGCTACACCAACTATCCTCACCTTGCTGGCCTGCAGAAATGCTTCTTCACGCCCAGATTGTAGGAAGGAGGGAACACCTGCGCGGGCAAAGAATTCCACTTACGAATAGTACGACAAAGAAATGAGTCACCAAATTTCTTTATTCGTGTAGGAATAGTGGCCACAGTAAGTCGGTGGACGCTTGCCAGCGCGCGTGGTCCTCTGAAGAAAAGGTGATGGAGGGTTAAGGGAGAATAACTCCTCAGAACACTCGCCGTGGTATAGTCGGTAGAATGCGCTTAATGATGCCACATCGCGGCATTTTCAAACTTAAAAAGCTACGTGTTAGTAAATTTTGTGAGGAATGCGTACATGGCCGTCGGTGATCACTTTAATATCAGGTGGCCCGTTTGATCATCTGCCTTCCAGGGCAATAAAAACCGGCCATGTGCGAATCGGACTCGCGCACTGGTTCCGTACCATTATCTTTGCAGCATTACACACAGTATTATAATATCGAGTAAAAACGGCAAAAATATCACGTCTGTTGTATGAGATCGGTACAGAGCGCGAAGAAAAATCATTTTTTGTTTTTTATTTGTTGCTTAAATACAGCTATGGGACATATACCTACATTTCACATCTTAACTAGTTTCGAGATGATCTTTCGTAAAAAAATCCCCCTTTCTTTGTTATTGAAAATAAAAAAACAATAAACTACACAACGAGTAAAATATTGTGTCACATGCTGGTAAAAAGGAAAAAAAACATTTTTCATCTCCTTTTCATGTATGGGTAAATAATTTAATTGAATTTTCAAATAAATATTCAACTTTGGGTAAGCATTCTACATAAAATATCAAAATTTCAGTTCTATAACTTATTCCGGTTACGATCTAGAGACCCGTGTCATACGGACAGACGTACAGACAGACAGACACACGACAACGTGACAGCAACAGGGTCCCGTTTTACCCTTTGGGTACAGAACCCTAAAAAGAAATCAGACGTGCTGTCGTCCATAGTAAAGACGAGACGTGCAATTGACATCAAAGAATAACATCTGTGTAGTACGTGCCACTGTATTCATTCGTTTGTGGTATATCTTTGTAACGATAACAACAGATGAACTAGATTTGTTGACGTTAGTTTTGATTATGCTGTTTTGTTAAGTTAAGAGCTATAAAATATCTATTTAAAGGCCATATGACTATGCCATGCTCATTAGTATTACAAAAAGGATTACTCGTAATATTTAAACATAGTACTAGCCGCACGCAGAAAGTTTGCCGCTGATGTCACGAGATGTCACGAATACATTATTACGGTTGGCAAAAAGAGGTGTTATATAAATAGTGCATACAACGATAAATAAAGCTAGGAAAATTGGAGTAGTGGCTTAGTTTTATTATTATGTAATTACGTTACAGTTAAAGCAAGAGTATTATTATTCGGAAATCTTCCGCGTTGAATTTAAGATATTTTGATGTTTCTGTAAGTATATGTGCATATAGAAGATGATATAACTTTCCCATCATACACCTATCCATATATTTACTACTTTATTTGTGACACTCTAGGTTTTCATATAATTTGAAGCTCATGCATCGTCTACTGAATATCTATGTCTTTGAAGTTCTTCCGATATATAGATTTATCGCTACACTATAGATCCCATCTCTTCTCGGACTGGATAGAGGATCAAGAATTTAGCCTTTAACAAATACCTCAATAAAAAACTCATGTAGATAAATATATTTTTAAATACCTAAGTATTTTAATAATATTTTATGGTTAACTTCAGCTGGCCAGCAAATGCTCAACAAGCTAGCGTGCATCGACCATCAGGAGTGTGGTGCGTGCCTATCGGCCGCGCCTCACTGCCGCTGGTGCGCCGACCCTTACTACAACGCGCCCGCCCCGAGGTGTAACGACGACTTGAGGTACGCTACCATTATACGTCCCGGAGGCGATAAAGTCGACTTGACAAGTCTACTAGATCGTCTCCAGGACGCATTACTACTCTGAGTTGCGTCGACGCACCTCAGACTTGAGTAGTCTAGTAATTCTACGGCCGAGAGATGATCATCTGCGAACGACAACATACACACCCAAAAGAAAGTTATTGCCCATTACCCGTAAGTACCCTAATTTAACACGTAGGTAGAATAACCCATTGTGCAGGACCAGTTTTGTGATGGGAGCTAACAACTGTAGATGCTACTAGGGTGCTAAGTTAAGAATGCATGCTATCCATGGAGCATCCCCACTAGAGTCAGCATCACACAAATTTTGTTTGGAATCAAAATCGCCAAAGTCGGTGGGGTGCAGTGAGGTCAGCCCCGCTGTGATTGGACGCGTCAAAGTCAGATCATATACTCAGTGCAGCGAAGTGATGAGGGTAAGATCGATTTTAGAAAATATCGATATTTTCTATCGATAAACAATTTAGAATAGAGGCCTAGTACTTTGGTGCGCGACTGTAAGCAAATGCGTAATCATACCCTCTCCACTTTCTTCCAGCGTTCTAATTACATGACGCGACTAGTAACTACATACTAAATTATATATAAGCAACACAAAAAAAAAACACGCCCAGGACAAGAAGTATTAATGCAACGATATTAACTACCCTAGATACAACAACACGAACAAAATCGTGGCCAAAACGTGTCCAAAAGGTACATTGGACGATCCGCGGAGGTCTATAAGATGATCGCGTGGTCAAAAACAATATAATGCCTTATTTAAACATTGAAAGTCACCTTTAATGCATACGGCATAAGGTCTTAATTAAAATGCACGCGTCAAGTTCGTAAAATTTGACGACTTATTGTTATGTGTGAAAGAATATAGACCTTATTTTTTTTTGACTTTTCGCGCGCAATTCTGATTGCGCTGTTAGCAATATAGCAGGTATAGATCGCGAAGAAAAGAGATGGCTAAGGGCGACGTATAACCGACCATGCATTTGAATATCACAAATATTTTATATTAAATCAGTTTATAGTAAGTATTACAACAATAAAGGAGATTGCTCAGCTTCCATACATGTTTGGCCTTAAAACCAATAACCATGAAAAATTGTTTCCTAGATTCGAAATTATATATAAATTACCGTAGAAACGAATATTATCGACGGCCACTCCTGAGAACTTCTATAAACCATATACACTGAATGATTTTGAGGTTATGTTTGCAAATAGGCACATAGGTATTAGAATAATAAAAACCAAATAAGTTATATAGGAAAATAGGGCAATCAAGCCAATTACCGATATTATGTATTAGATTCAGGTATATAGAGCATGTAAAATAACAGACAATTGCCTGTTTTTAAAATTAATGCACAAGAGTAAGTTTTAAAATCATGACTATGCCATTGCGACTTTCAGAAGCAATCTTGTTTCATTTGACAAGTGTCTAACACTAATTACACTAACAAAATGCATGTCAAGGAACTGGTACCTGCTTACCTATGTTATGAGAAACATGGAACTGTTATCATAATTTTATAAAAACCAATAGGATATTTTCTTAGTAATAATTAGGTTTATAATGGTAAAAGGTAATTCTAATGTAATAATATATTGCGTAGGTTCATGATAGTTCTGATCAATGTGTGAAATATGTATATTCCTGACATAGCTTAAATATTCTGATAAGGTAAATTAATGAAATAAAACAACTTAAGTACTTTTATGTTGCGTTTAATATTACATATCATCTACATTTTGAATTAAAATATCATCGAAATATTTTATCAATCTTTACAAAATAGATTTGTTTTGATGTTATATAAACAACCTCGATCAGTCTTTGTGAATGTTACTACACCCATAGCCAATAAAAATGATTCGTATGTTTTCCAAACCGGTAAAATAGAAGTCCTTTTTTAAAATTAATATATTATTTAAAGGTGGCCGTTAAAATCTAATGACTGTAAAATAAAGTATAAATTACGCCAAGAATTACTGTATATGTAATTATATTATTTGCATTTAGGCCAATTTGACCAATCTACTTTGCTTTAAAGGCGTTCATTAAAAAACATTAATTAGCTACCCGTCGCAAAAACGACACTTTACGTCCTATTAGTATTTTTCTGTATTTTTTCACGGAACTCTTTGGCATCTTGACTTTTCAACGGTCCGCGATTGAGTGGAGTTCAAGTACTTCTTGATGGGGACACATTTTGAGCGCTCGTGGTGTTTCTAGGGTATTTAATATCATTAATTCTATGTCTTTATCTAGGTCATAAACTATGCGCACTTAATTTCATACAAATCCGTTTAACCGTTTTAGCGTGAAAGAGTAACAAATATGCATACAAATTTTCGCGGTTTTTCAATTTTATTAGGATATGTTTGAAGTCAAATAAAAACTGTTGGTTGTATACTCATGACATCTATTATTGTATACGATGAAATAAATAGTTTTTATTTATTTTTTCAATTTCCATAGCTGACAAACTTATTGATAAACTTACGCGTTGAGACATGAGCTGCGTCTGAGTCACTAGCAATACACGTGCCGGTGTGAAAGCGAGATAGCATATATGATGTAGCCCATGCGAGAAAGGGATAGTGTAAAAAGACATCAACGCGTTCACCAAAAAATAAATACAATTAACACCAATTTAATATAACAGTATTTTTTTCTTTTTGTAATGCATTTAAACTAACCAGTGAAAAGTAATACCATTTTTTTTTTAAGACTGGAAGTTGTACTCGACTTTCCACACAATTTAATTGCACAGTACGGCATTTTTTACAGTTTTTTAACACGAAAACGAGAGAAGCAGTTCGACCAACGCTCGGTTACCGAATGAAACGATGTATCGCGACGTCTGTAGGCGTGCCTCACGCATAGGTAAAATACTACTTAAACTTGGCGTAAGCGCTTGCCCTTGTAGGCGGACTCTAGTGGGGGTGCTCCGTGATGCTATCTTATACCACTGCAGCAACCGTGAAATATGTTTTTCAAAGGAACCTTTTTTATGTCAGGCAGGCAACTGTCATAATTATTCTTGACTACTCAGATGATGATGATGCCTACGCATTTAACATCATGTCATGATCCGACTCTTTTGAATAATATGAAGATTTAGTTGTCAAGAAATTATAAATTTGGGAATGCTGAAATACCCATTCCTAAATTTATACTGAAGTTCTTGATTTTGGTCGCTTGCTCATGTAAAACTAGAAAACCTGCAGTAATTTATCTGTTGCGGATTCGATTCTGCTTTTAAACTTACCTAAGTATTTAGGAAACTAATCCACTGTACCTGAATTACTGCATGTGCAAGCGTCGCGGCTTATATAATATTTATAATACAAAACTATAATTATGAATGCTCTACGTGCCCTCTATGTAGGTAATACGCGAGTTTATTCAGTGTTTGCTTAGTAGTAAATTAATCATTGATAAAACCGGCATGCAGTGTGCATACAGCACCTCCGCTTGTATGGCTGCGGTTATTCTAATGTTGAATCATGTGTCGCATAAGACATTAGAAACGGTATATTAATTCCTACTACATTTGGACGACGCCGACGGGCGACGTCCGCAGCTGAGTGGTTCGATTGCTGTGTTAATTGTCATTTTTAAGGTTTTGGGTTTTTGATTTGCAATTTATCTACGTAATGGACTATTCAATCTGTCCATTTATAGTATCCATTTAGATTGCGTAGGTATAATTATATTATCCCTTGCATAAATAAAAATAAATAAATAATAATATGAATAAATAAATAAAATGAATAAATGAAAAATAAGTAACCGAAACTTCATAGCAGTATTTTTTAATTTTAATTAAAATAAAATCTACATGTTACTTTGTTGATACTACTTAATTATATTGAGTAGTATATTGAAAAATGTATCATACCCATCGCTCTGATAAGACAAATATCCCACTATCCTTAAAAAAGTTTGCATAAGTCCTTCTGCTAAAAATCAACTGACCCTACCAATCGAATTCGAATTCTTATTGTACATATAACATGCCGTTCGTTGTCAACATTTCTATATTAAGCTTCAAGAAAACAATATCAAAACTTCATTTCGACTGATCGATAAAGCTACACCAATATCCATCTAAAAAGTCAGTATGATGATCTATCAATTTATTCAACCATAACGTGAGTATTTCCCAACAGCGCGCACTCACTGGGCCGAAAAAAATATGTTGAGCTTCGAAAGTACGCACGAGCCAAGTTGAAAGAGCGCCGACTTGACGGGCCCTGTTCCCACGTTTGGACGGCTGGCTAATCAAGAGATGGTCGTTTGATTGATTATTGATTGTGCGCCCGCCGCCAGCCGTAGCTAGGATCAACGCTTTTCAATGGATATATTTCGACGCACGCTGCGTTTGGTAATTTCATTGCTACAGGGCATAAGATGTACCTGATGCTTTGTCAGTGCTGTGTTTGGTTTGCTGGTGGCCGCTTTAGTAAGTTTCTTCTTGAAGACAACAAGTACTTAAATGAATTAATTATAGTAAAAAAAAAGTCATACTTGTATAGATATGTCGTGAAACGAGAGATTTGAAATTACTTATAACGAGCAAAAACATTGTAGAGACGTTACAGATATCTAATAATGTATTTTACGTATGTAGCAATAATTTAAGTACGAAACCCTTAAAACTGTAGTCTCAAAACCATAAAACTTATTTTAGTGTAAGATATGCTTTTAATAACAGTAGAAACTCAAAGAGCAGCAATGCATGACGATAGCTCATATCCCATTTATAATCTGTACGATAGCTGCTTTCCTTGGGGAATTTGACAAAAATAATTCCTATATATTTTTTTTACCCTCCCCCACAAATCAAAACAGTTTCCTCTAATATCTAGCTTGATCAAAGAAAATAACAAACATCTACAGGAAGGTTCTATTAACGATTTACTACACAGTGCTCTGTGTGTGACAGAGTAATTTCAGATGGAACCACTGCAGTAAATAATCTTGCTGCTCTCTTTGAGTTTCTAATTCTAAACATTATTATCTGTAACTAACAACATTTCCTATACTAACTTGTGTTATGGATTTTGTGACTTCAAATTTAAACATATTTAGTACTTTTGTTAGAATATTTTCTATTATTATGAAATGAAATTAATGAAAATATCCAGTATTGGCTGCTTCGCTGCTTGTAAAGTCTCTGCGATTTTTATCCTACGTCATTAAGTTAATTATGTACCAGGATAATACCAGTATTGATTAATTTTCATTAATATATATAAAAAAGTAACGAAAGTTGCTAGCATACAAAGATTTTTCTTCGTAGAGCCAATAAGGAAGCAGGGCAAACTATCTTGCTGCCTTTACTAGGAAGCCAAAGATAAATAGAATACGAGAAGTATAATAATAAACTTGTACGAAATAACCAAATAGGCACGCGCGAGTGCATCTCGTAAACTTCGGTTCATTACAAACGCTAAAATTAACTTCCTTTAGAGCGGCCAGTGCGTATGGAAACAGTGTCCATGCTCTCCATTATTTTTACGATCTTGCTTGACAGATAGATTGTCATTTTATCACATCTCAAAAAAGTTCTCGGAAGTTCATTGAACTTTATATATGTTACATGCAGTACCAACTAGCTGGTGATGGCGTCCTCGTTTGCAATGAATTATTGGTACTAGTGGTAGACTTTAGTAATTATTAGCTTTCTGCACTCCTTCTCCTTATAAACTTTTATTATCCAAAATATCACACTCGTCCATGTGCAAAATGTCCTAAAAACGAGGTACAAAAGTTTTTCCTTTTTTATGTTATAAGGGTGGCAGACAAGCGTTTGACCCGCCTGATGATAAGCGGCCACCATAGCCTATAAACGCTTGCAATACCACAAATATCACTCGCACTGTTGCTTACCCTGACCCAATCCCCTCCCCGTGGAGCCCTGGAACCTTACTCACCGACAGAAACACAACAGCACCAAAAGGTAGTGTTATTTTACTGTGATCATCTGTAAGGTGAAGGTTACTTCCCCAGACGGGCGCTCCTATTAGAACGGAAAACCCTCTATGCCCTACTTCTCATAAATATATCCTTCATGATGAAAATAATAATTCCATTCAAACTTTCATCCCCTATTTCACTGCCTAGTAAGTTATATTTCTTGTAACAAAAAGTAGGCGGCGCACCTACTTAGTCTTTAAAGATTAAGTGTGATTGAGATAACGTATTTTGGTCGTAGAGTGTACCGTTCATTGTGCCCTAATTAACGCTAAGTTTGTTTTTCAGCTTGGTGCAAAGTGGGTGCAGTCAGGGTCTGATTCAACGCCCACTGCCGGCGCTGTGGGAAGTTGTTGCTAATAACACATTGCAGGATGTGCAGCCCGATAGCTTAGATCATGTTGTTCAAATTCAGCCGCAAAGCATACGCCTGTCCCTGAAACCAAGTAAGCTTTTTTCATCATCATCATCAGCCTATCGATGTCTCCACTGCTGGGGCACAAGCCTTCTTTATGGATGGAATAGTGAGATTTGGCCATAACCCACCCACGCGGTCACATGCGCGAATATTGCGGATACAGCCCGGACCAACGGCTTTACGTACCTTCCGAAGCACGGAAGAGCTCGAGATAGTAAATTTTTTTATGACTGCGAAAGTTACTAACTTCAACGACCGCAGTCGAACGCGCTTAGCGCCTTGGAGCTCTCAAGTAAGCTTCACTCTATATGTGTCATACGATGTACTACAACGTATGGTAATAAAGGCTTTTTCATTAATCACAGCCTTTTCGTAAGAAATTGGAATACAGTGATTTGCTGACTGACTAACTTCTATGTTTAGGTTTTACTTTTTTATACTTAAATGTGTTGAAGTGTTGCAAATACACGAAGAATTCCTAAGATATTATTAGGGCCTCTTTTGTATCGCGAGCTTCCAAGAATTCCAAACTCGTGATAATTTTACTACTAATAGTTATTAACACTCCTCATAGATATGAAAGTTTACAAAAACCAGTTATAACGAGGCAAATATCACAACTGTACGATGTATACTTCCATGTTTCCCAAAGGGTACGCGAAGTTCTGAGGTCAAGCATCGTGTTTGGGGTTAAGCTGAGTGAGGTATTTTAACTAACGCGCTGTTTGACGATCCACACATGACATGACAGTCTATAGAAATAACTGATGCCCGACCCGACACTCCTGTGAAAATATATGTATGTAATGTTCTTTTGCTTATTCAGTTTTGGAGTAAACACTTAAGTTTTGTCATAAATATTAAATAGGCGTACCAACATGCGAAGGAAAAAAAATTCCGCGATGTATGCATTAGGAAAGAAAGAAATTGATTAGCCTTATACAAGTAAACTAGTATTTTTCACACGATTGTCAAAAATGGAGTTCTTGTATGTTCATGTAGTTATGTTTAAAGAGTGTTCATGTATGTTTGTGTTTGCGTTTATACTTATTACAGAGAGAACTTCTGAATACTTGAACATATTTAATGAATAGGATACTGTTAGATTTTTTACGTGATCGTAACAAGTGACACTGGCTATGAATTATTAGAAAAGAGTATAAGTCAGAGGTACGTCGTCTTTTTAAACGAAATAAACCCAAGAAAATTAAAGGCAGTCGGGGGACCTCTTAGATCGAGTAAGCATTCTTCAATAAAGTAATCATCCGAATAGGTATGACGTATTGCAGTCATTTTAGAATTTTGCGCTAGCAGAACTAGCTAGCTTGAAGTACTTACCTAGTCTAGTAGTATTTAATTAAAAACTTACGATGCAGAAGTATTGTTGTAAGTTGCGATTGCAGGAGTGAGATTGTTGTGTTCTCGGAAGAATCGATCGAAACGGGATGTAATGATGAGGATAAAAGATGATAAAATATGAAGTATGAAAACCCGAGTTACAAGTTTAAGATGCGGCAATTCTTCATGCTTAGAATGAGCAAGCCACCTCTGCGTATAGCACTTATAGGCGAATAAATTAACATAATTCATTTATTCAGGGGAGACCAGGAAGGTAAAATTCTCTTATCGACCAGCTAAAAACTACCCTCTGGACCTGTATTACCTGATGGACCTCACGTGGTCCATGAAGGACGATAAAGATACGCTTGTCAACCTTGGAGACGCCCTCACGGTCACACTGAGCAACTTGACTGACAACTTCAGGTAAATATTAAATTTGTTAGCATCATGGATTTAGTTTACTAATATATCTATAGAATTTTCAATACGAGACCAAAATCTGGTTGCACTAGTACCCACATAATATATATATATATGTGTGAAATGTGCATGTATGGAAGAATATTTTTTCTATTCTAAGCATTATTGTTGTATTGTATCGTCACAGATTACGATATAAAATATATATTCTACTAATATTATAAATATGAAAGTTTGTATCTTTGTTACAAAATCACGAAAAAAATCCTGAATGGATTTGAATACCATTTAGTACTCGTATAGTTTATGATCTGGATTCAGACATAGGATATGTATACTGTTAACCCGAAAAAATGTTAGGTTTCTGTAGTATTGTGAAAACGAGGACGAAGTCGCGGTTAATAATATTGTAGGAGATATCGTTAATTCACCAGTCGCCACCTTACTAGTTGATTGTATAAGTAAAACTCACGCACGCAGGCCATGTCGCAACTACACAGAGAAAAGTGAAACATATAACAGCGAACCAACGTCGTTTCGCACCTCAGTCGTTTTACTAGTATAGCTGAGCCAAAAGATCGCTCGCTGTGTAAGCCCAAGAAAGAAAAGATGTTTACCAAATCAAGTCCGTTTATCTTCGTTCCCAGTGTGGTTAACACTTAACAATTGGACTTGCTCTTTGTTACTCTACCTAAAAGCTAAGAGCTTTTCCAGATAAGGCGATTTACACGTGTTTCAAGCTTTTAGTCTTTGGTTCATTGATACGTGTTAATCACGGACTGTTCTTACTCAGCCTTATGATCACGCAATGAAGTACGATCCGCGAGTAAAAAGCGCGTTTATCTGAGGCCTAAGCATAAATTTTGACAGCTCGGTACTCGTATCGCATCGTCAAAGTTTCTATTAAAACTAACTAGCACTGCTACCGCGCGTCAGAACAAACGGGCTCCTTCCATACAAAATTTGACGATGATGATACGATTACGGGTCTCTCAAAATTCGTGCTTGGACCTCTGGACAGGTTCTAAGGGATTGATCTCAGATTGTCTAGGTCGCAGTATGACTAACCTCCATTAAAAGACTCAGCCTGCTTATTCATGTACGAATTCCTCAAATTTACAGGATAGGATTCGGTAGTTTCGCCGATAAGCCGCTGATGCCTTTCATAAGCGTGGACGAGAAGCGACTAGCGAATCCTTGTGCCATGGAAGAGCATGAGTGTGAGGCCATGTACAACTACAGGCACCATCTGTCGCTTACCGATCAAGTATGTATACGGTGATCTATTTACATGTTTTAGCAAAAACAGTCTTCAATTTCTTTTGGTTACCCAAAAAATTCGTATTTTTTCATATTACAATGCTTAAACAACAAGTAGGTACTTAAATAATGTTTTTGACAGTTTTTTTAGGAAATCATAAACTGAGGCAAATGTTTAGGTGTATTTAAGAAACGGCGAAAAGGGCTTAGAGGGAGGAGCATATTTACCGGTCAAGATGGCCACGGCCGAATAGGCATTCGTTATTGAGCTATATTTTGATTTGATAGACTAATAGGCTAGTTGACCCTTTTTGGAAAAAGGTTTTAAATGGTTAATAAATGTTCTATTAGACCGAAAAAAAATGTATTGTATTTTTTTTTAAACCTAGAAAGCTACAAATCTTTAATTTTAAAATAGACTTTTCATGGACATACAAAAACGCTGTCGGCCATTTTAGTCTATAGATTGTCTATGCTATGACGTGAACTGTGGTAAACAAAAACTCGTAAACACGTAGAAAATTACTTTTAACTGAGTTTATAATAAAAAAAAACATGATTTCTAATAAATACCACGAAAAATAAAGTAATTATCATTACTGTATTGTACGAGAATATAAAAACACATCCTTGAAGACTCCAGGAAAGTTGTGGATTAAAGTGCCGAAAGAAATTAACCTACGCAACTTTATTACACTTATTCATATGTTGTATCAGTTTTATGTTTATTACTACATTGTAATACTAAATGCACGGTACTTACATAGATGCCTTGTCGTTTCTCTGCTCCGCAGAGCAGAAATCGGGGTTTAGTGCAACAAATTCACCAACCATCAATGCGTCAATTCTTGGCAGATTTGTGCTTTCTGCTTTCACAAAGCCGGCATCCATAATTTGTTTAGTCAAAAAAACAAAGTTTACTGTTTTTTTCCTTTCCTAAAGTTAAAAGTGTTTTAAGATAAATTTAGTCAGACGAAAGAATCCACCTACAGTAACACGCGAATGACATTTAGTTGTTTACCACAAGAGACGTCAAAATCATGGCGAATGTGGCGAACAGCGTTTTTAGTGTTTAAAAAATATAGACTAAAAAATATTTTTTTAAATTAAATTTCTACAGCAATCTTCTGCTTTTATGAAGTGAAATCGATATATTAAGGTTTCTTAGACTAAACACTTTAAGAAATAAACATTTATTTAATACAATTCGACATGAGTAAACTAGCCTATTGTAGGGCATTAATTTGTTATTAAGTAGCAAATTATATAAAAATATGTCGTTACCAGCGCTCTACCTACTTAATAAGTCATTTTTACTAACGTTCGTTTCTTGTACAACAAATTTCAGGTGAAAGATTTCATAGAAAACGTAAACAAGAGCGCAGTGACGGCGAACTTGGACAACGCGGAGGGCCAGCTCGACGCTCTGGTGCAGGTCATAGCTTGCGGCAATCGCATCGGATGGTCGGCGCACAGTAGGAAGATTGTGATCCTGCTGACTGACGGCTCCATACATACGGCGGGAGACGGGAAACTAGGTGAGACATAGTTTCAGGCCTACATCTCTAATCTTTTTATTATTTTCTTTTCTTTATCTCTAAGACAAGTCTTTCGCAGTGCGATCATATGAATGAAGAAACTATACTCTAAGGGAATACTTACCTAGAAGATCTTTATAAATTACATAGAGTAGTCTTAGATTAAAAATTTAAAACAAAAGGGAAAGATACGGTATACTCATACTAGCATCAAATAAAATATGCTACGACTCAATGCTACATAAGCAACTCTCACGCATGCACACTTCTGTAAATAAACTAAAAACTGCGGTTTTTTTCTCTCTCTACAAACGGCTGAGCTGTATTGTTGTCCTTTTCTTGATAACAAATGGCGAAAAAGTAAATAACATCCATGACAAACTATGATTTTTGGAAAAAACATGTTTTCATAGTTTTACATATGAAAAGTGTTGCCGTAAAATTTGTTATTTGATCTTGAACTATTTGTGTTCTTTATAAAGCATCGAAGGCATTGTTTTATCTTTATAAGGCATCATATACGCAATATTGTTATATTGAGTGCACCTGCAGCATGTTTGAATGTCCAATTGTGACTAAAGCGCAATGTGGTCATGCACCACAACTTAAGCGGATCACTTTTGAGCCGCGAGTGCCTTATCTTCCCTTTTTATCCGTCTGTGCAATGCAAGAGCTCGAAGCGCGACGAGCAGACAGTTTAACAGTCTATATATGTATGTATGTGTATGTACTTTGTGGCACAGTAGAGACCAAACGCGTGGACTGATTTTGGTGATTCATACGTCAATCGATTTGCCTTAATAGTAATAGTTAAAGAACAAAACTACATTAACAGTCGGGACCCATTATTGAAAAAAAATTATCCATTCTTGAATATCTAATGGTCCCGACAGTTAAAATAGCTTTGTTCCTTACTAACAGAATTAGTAATATTTAAGCAGCCGAGTTATTATTATTTTTATATTTACCTTTTTTGTTTTAATCTACAAGAGCAGTGCATACCCAGATCAAAAAAAGTTTGCGATCACTTTGAAAAATAGATTGTTTTTTGTGTTACTTACAGAAGTCTTTTTTGTAATTTCTTTTTCTGATAAGATCCTAATTTTTTAGAATTAGAATTAGAACTTAAAACAATAAAATAATTCAATTGTTTTTCCATATAAAAAGACATGCAATCCAAGCTGACACTCATTCAGAAATCTGAATTAGTCAATATTGGTATCAATTCTGACATGATTCTCTAAACCTAAACTTAAATTTGACAACAGTGCATCCTTGTCATTCTCTATGCAGATTGACAAGGAGAGACTGATGTTAAATTTAGTTTTAAGTTTAGAGAACCACGCCAGAATCGATACCAGTGTATCCTTGTTATTCTCTATACAGCATGAAAAGGAGAGACTGATGTTAAATTTAGATTTAAGTTTAGAGAATCACTCCAGAATTGGCACCATTATCGAATTTAAAATATTTTTTCACGGAAAGTTGTGTTAAAAAAATGCCACGAGGACTATCAGATGTTTTACAAGCCAAAATTGTAAGTTTGAGGGAAGAAGGCTATTCTACGAGAGAAATAGCACGCAGAGTTGCCATATCCCAATCCTGTGTAGTAACCACGTTGCAGAGGCACCACGGCATGGGTAATTTAACTGATCCACCCTGCAGCGGTCGCCCAACTGTTTTGACAGCTGCTCAGAAGCGCTACATCAGGTTGCTGGTAGCCCGCGACCCAACAATAAACGCCACAAAATTAAAAGCAGAAATACGGGCAGCCTCCGGACTTGAAGTTAGCACTCAGACCATTCGGAATTGCGGAACACAAGGATTACGAGCACGGAGGTTTTGGCGAACACCTTTGAATTCACGGGAACGTCAGCGACGGAGATTACAGTGGGCTAGGCTCCGGCAAAACGAAGAAGACGAAGACGAAAACATTTGGCAAAATTGCCTCTTCGTTGACGAATCTCGAATCAGTACTCACCCAGATAACCGACATGTCCGTGTTTGGAGAAGACCTGGAGACTCTGAAAGGCAAAGAACGGCCACTGGAACGGTTCAGTAAGGTTGGAAATCAGTGTCCTTTTGGGGTGGTACTATGATTTGGGCTAGAACGCCTTTAATTCCTTATCAAGGCTTCGTGACGGCAGACAGATACAAAACAGTCGCTATTGATGGAATCGTCAGACCTTTCCGAGTAAACCATGGGCACCAATTTGTAATAAAAAAAGATATAACGTAAACATTGCTTTTGCAAGTGATGTCAAACTTTTTTTGATTTGTGTCATCATCATCATCAGCCTATTAATGTCCCCACTGCTGGGGCACAGGCCTTCCCTATGGATGGAATAGGGAGATTGGGCCATGACCCACCACGCGGGCCCAGTGCGGATTGGTGGGTGCTAACGACTGCAAATGCAGCCTGGACCAACGGCTTAACGTGCCTTCCGAAGCACGGAGGAGCTCGAGATAGTAAATTTTTGGTCACCCATCCAATGACCGACCACTGCGAAAGTTGCTTAACTTCAACGATCGCAGCCGAACGCGCTAGCCACCTGCGCCATCGAGCTCCTCACTGATTTGTGTAAGTTCGCTAAAATTCGACGGTACTATTAGTACGGTACTATGAGTACCATAGTCAGTGCCGTCTTTGACCTATTGGAGGCCCTGGGCAGATAATGGGGCCCCTATTATGACCCCCGTTTGGTGATTTAACAGGAACTAGGGACTTCGTATTTGATCTGAGGGGGGCGCCTTATCGCGGGGCCCTGGGCATTTGCCCAAAGTGCCCACTGGGAAAGAGGGGTCTGACCATAGTGATGTTAATCTGCATGTAGTCTGTTTAAAAAAAGCCAGCCATGGAAAATGTGTTCCTATTGCTTGAAATTAATAGAGCAGATAGCACTGTAATCACACTAATATTATAAAGGCGAAAGTTTGTAAGTGTGTGAGTGTATAGGTTTGTTTCTTCTTCACGTCTAAACGGCTGGAGCTATTTTAATTAAATTTGGTATGGAGTTAGCTGAGACCCTGGGTTAACACATAGGCTACGTTTTAATGCGGGGATATCCCTAATAACTGCGGGTAACACCGCGGAGCACAGCTAGTAGTATTTGAAAATGTAACCGTATTTTTTTCAGCTGGTGCGACAAAAAGAAACGACGGTGAATGCCATTTAGATGATAACGGTTACTATACAGAGTCAATAATATACGATTACCCGTCTCTTGAACAAGTGTATAGACTTTTAGATAAGTACAAGGTAAAATTCGTTAAACTCGCTGGTTGAGATTAAACATTTTTTCAATGTTTGCTCCTTTATCTGGGTGTGTACCTAATTTTTGTTAATTTGGTTTTAGGTAAACGTAGTTTTTGCTGTAACTGATAGCGTGAAATCCTACTACGATAACGTTCATCAGCTTCTTGAAGATTTCACTTACGTTGCCAAATTGGAAAGCGACAGTTCCAACATACTGAAATTGGTTAAAATGGGTTACGAAGACATTGTGAGCGTGGTTAATTTCAAAGACGATTCTAGTAATGGTCCTGTGAAGGTCCAGTACTTTACGAACTGCGGAGTCAAAGGTGGCTCCATGATGGAAACTACCAAGTGCACTGGTGTTGAATATGGCATGACGCTTAACTATGAAGCTCATTTAACTTTGGATTCTTGCCCAGAGTACAAGAAGGTTTGTTTGTTACAATCGTTAGTTTTTTTGGAATTCGCAACAAATACACAAGATCGTAATTACAGAAGACCACCGTAAAATAACTCTCCATTATTTTTCTGTAGGTGAAGGTTTCCAAATTTTCAAAGTTGTACAGGTATTAAGGAGTCAAGGCAGGCACCTTGCCAGTTTTTTAGCCAGATTTATTTTCATAATCCATAGAGAGCTGAAAAAAAAATCTTCAAATCTACTTTTACTAATTCCATGATCTCCACAGCCCTTATAATTTTAATAAAAGTGTTCTTTCAGATAACCCAAAAAATACGCATATCTGAGAGTCAATTAGGCCAGGATTCTTTAGAGCTGGATGTTGAACTGCAATGCGGCTGTGAATGTGAAGGCGATCAAATCAAAGACATGTTGCTCAATTGCCCCAGTAATTCGCATTTGGTCTGCGGTGTCTGTCAGTGCAATAAAGGATGGTAAGTGCCAAGTTTCTGCTGTTGGAGCTACTGTTGCACTATACTTACCCAATATTTTAAAAACACTTCTCATCTTTGAGATGTTTTCTTGATACTATTACTTGTAAAGTATGTTATATATAGAGACCTTCAGATTAACTAATCTTAATATTTACACATATAAGCAAGACATTGGCAATGATTTTGGAATTATGATGAAATTTTTTATTACAATATATTATATTACAATATAAATATATTACAATAGTAAATTCCATTTCAGAATAAAAGTAATTTTGAGTACCTATTTACAGGTCAGGTCCTATGTGCAATTGCTCTATAGAGGATGAAGCCGCTTCGGCAGCTTTAGAAGCGCAATGCCGTGAACCCAATGCGACTCGAACTATCGCGTGCTCCGGCATGGGCGACTGTCGGTGCGGCAAGTGCCAATGCGACCGCGGCTTCAGTGGCAGATACTGCCAGTGCAAGGATTGTGAACGGAGCATGTAGGCGTCCATCTTTAACTGTATAAACTTTGCTTTTGTCAAATTTTGCTCGCAGTAACTGGTTTATAATTCGCATGTTATCTACCCCGTAATTTGTGGAACTCTGTCTACTTAATGCAAAAATATTTGACTCCGCAGAATTAGTATTTGTCATCTGCAGCGCCTTTCACGAGCGCTTCATTTCGAGAAATAAATCCACCTAAGCAATTTTCTGCTAAGGATGTGTTTTACCATGAATTTGCTGAACATAATGAATACCTACGTGTGTTGCTTAGAAATAACATATTTAATGTACCAACTAAATACTATCACGATCTAGAAAATCACTAGACGTATGACAGAAATACTATATAGCTATTCAAGATCTATCACCGTGTAACTCCTAGTAAAATGGCTGTAGCAATTACGGCGCTTGTCCAATATTACACTTCTGAACATTGGACATCTTTTTATTTTAATACCTACTGCGTGTTAATCACAGACAGAACATATTCTGTGTTAAAACTAAGGGAAAAATTTATTCACACCACGCTTTCTCAAATTTCTAATAATAATTTAATCGAGGAATATGATTTAGTTAGACACCCTGCACCGAACCAATGCAAAACGTAACAAACTTTAACACGTAACTATCGCGATGAAAATGTCTACGATGCTTGACTTGACTGTCTGGATTTTAAAACTGTATTTTCTCCTGTTTCCAGTGAGAACGGCATGGAGTGCGGCGGTGCTGAGCGAGGCACTTGCGTATGCGGACAGTGCTCGTGTGCGCCGGGCTGGCTGGGGTCCGCGTGCGACTGTCCCACTGCCACCGAGGCCTGCCGCGCGCCCGCAGGCGGCGACGTGTGCTCCGGACACGGCACCTGCGAGTGCGGTAACTGCCGGCCTACTCTATATACTGCCAACAATGTATGATAATACTCGTGCGGCGTGCTGGCTGAAGCCCACGCGCGACTGTTCACCGCCACCGATGCCTGATTCGTGCCAGCCGGCGGTGAAGTGTGCTCCGGACAAGGCACCTGCGAGTGCGGTAACTGTCGGCCCATTTTATATACTGCCAGCAAGATATGCCAATACTAGTGCGGCGGACTGGCAGGGTGGGGCCCGCGTGCGACTCCTCTAAAGATTTCCAACCCTGTTCAGGCATACAGTTATTAATGCATGTTTTCAAAAAGTTTTCATTAATCTGTTAAGACTATTGTATTTATACAGATCAACCTAAATTGTCTTTTCAGGTCGTTGCAAGTGCGACTCATCCGGGCCTGACGGGAAGTATTCGGGAATGTTCTGCGAGACTTGCGCTACGTGCAAGAACCCCTTGTGCGTGAACGCGGAACCGTGCGTCAGCTGCCACCTCAACAACACGTGCACAGATCTGTGCACCATCGGCGACTTCAACTACACAGTCACCGAGAGGTTAACTGATACTGGTATGTCCTAATCACTCAAACCTAATCCTATTTATATTTCAAAAGTAATAGTACATTAGCATAGGGGGTCATATAGTCGTGGTCAAGTCACAGTGGGTATAGATTGCGAAGTACAGATTGTGAAGTGGGTACAAATGGACCCAGCCCAGGGGGGGGGGGTCATGACCCCCATGACCCCCCCCCCCCATCTCTGGATCCGCCTTTAGTACATTATGATATAAGTGCGGTAAGTTGAGAATTACAGCCGATATTGTTAGCCCGAGCCGTAGGGCTATAAGAAGGCAGAGGCTGTAATTATCAAACCGCAAGTATGTCATACGACGTTTTATAACACATTTGCGAGGAAATAATACTACCTACGTACGTACTTTCTGAAAATGAATTTGCACCTTTGTTTATTTTCCCAAAGATGAAATTTTGATACGCTTCACTGTAAGTATCATCTATCCGTGGATTTTTCGGGCAAGAGGCTTAGCGTAGCCTTTTTCGACTTCGGGTGGTGTCAAATTAATAAATTCGTTACTACTTGACAATATTTTCAATTAAAAACAATACAGCGAAAAGACAAAGTAATAACTTTTTCACAGATTAGCGATGCGCGCGCATCAACGCTTTTTTTAGGCAAAGGAACAAAAAACAGCCAGTGTTACTAATAAAGTAAATTATTATTTTTGTGAATTTCTTACCGATACATGGTTGTAATTTACTGTCAAAATGAATCAAATTAAAGAATTAAATGTTTGTATATTATATTTTATCTACCAAAGTTAATTTTATTAAGAAAATGTTAGCTACTTTTCTGACATAAAAACTCTTTGCTAAGATTTAATAAAAAAAGTATCGTTCGTTTTTAGACGGAACATAATAAGCCGTGCTTTTTACTTTACATTACCGCACGTGTGTGTAATGTGATAGATTATGATATTGAAATTGGTTCAATAAGAGACGCTTTACGAGCAAATGTTATTATTAATGTGTTCTTCTCAGTAATTTTCAATAGGTAAGATCCTTTTCAAAGTTGAACGACTGTTACTCTTAAACTAACTAATCTATCTTAACCGTTATAATTTTCCTTACAATCCGGATTTAGATACCTAAATCTAAATCCGGAAAATTTTAAAGGACCTATTCAACGATACTCCACACGTTGGGGTAGACGATGGTCGAGTGATTTGGCGTCGCCAATGTTGATCTTACCAATATCACACACATACAACTTGTCTCGTCTTGTGATACCGGAGAATGAAAAGGCTCTTAAACTTCGAAACTTCAGAATTGTGAAAAATTAAACGTACTTCATGCAGATACCAGCCTAAGGTGTTTTTAATGATTACCTACTCGTTTTAAAGTAAAAGGTAAACTGCAATTACAATGAAAATAATAACCTAATACGCGTCTAGGCTAATCACAATCTGTACATTTATAGTAACTTTGCGGTTCTCATTAAAGCTGAAAGTGCGGTTCTTCGAACACACCATTAAGTAATCTGCGGCTTGCGGTTCTTAACTGCGCGTTTTTCCTACAGACGGGTAAGCTAGAGTACGATGTTCTCTGGGACTTTTACGATTTAGACTGTTTTCATTTCTTTAGTTACAGCTTACTTTACCTAGGTTTTTTTAAATGGGTTATAGAATCACTTTAACTTTAGGTCGACCAATTACATATTCTTTCACCCTTGAAATATTATTTAAAATGTATATATTAGTAGCGGACCCGATAGTTGAAAGTTCAATTACATAACTCTAGGACGAAAGAAATATATGCAAATCAATAAAGAAGAAGACGAGCTTCGTAACTATTTTAATCTTGCTCCAGTCAATGAACCAAATGGGTGTTTGTATTAACTTTCTTTGTTTTAGACACGCTGAAAACCGGTGAAGTCGCATGCATCCTTCGAAGAGAAAACGAGGACGGACAAGACTGCGAGTACAAATATACGTACAGTGCTGCCACCAAATCCATGATCTCCATGGAGATAGTCATTAGGTCCAAGAACTGCATCGGGGCACTGCGAGCCAAGCTCATGACCAGCGCCTTGGTGATAATGGCTTGCGTAGTGGCCGTCGGAATGATAGTCATATTGATTTACAAGTCCGCCCAAATCATCTCCGATAGACGAGCGTATGCGAAATTTGTCCAGGAGGCCCAAGAAAGCAGGATGCATATGCAGGAACTCAATCCTTTGTACATATCTCCTATCTCCGAATTCAAAATGCCCGAGGCTTACAATAGAGATAAAATGGATTGATGCATTGGGTAGAGCTGTGTTAAAATTTAGTGTAATTAGTTTCTTTAACTTTGTTGACTCTGTTGTACTTACATTTAAAAAATATTTATGCAGTACCTATTTATAAGGTAAGTTTTTCACAATCTTTTTAATTTGTTAAATAAAGTGCCATTTACAATGCTCCTTTTGTCGAACTCGTAAAATAATGTGTCATGTATTTGAGTAATTGTACTTATCACCCTAGTCCCTAATACCTTATATTAGGAGGAATCAATGTTGAAATAATCAACAGTATTTATCTACTATATTTTTATATCTTTGGCAAGCGTGACTTGCAAAAATTTACTGCGTGCATTTATTTAATAGCTTGAGTGCCAGTTGTCGAACATTGATGTGTTTGTGTGTGATGTATTTAGTACTTAACGAAATATCAAGTATGTAAGTGGCTACGTTTATTTTATGTTGTCAAAAATAGTGTGGGTATTTTTTTTCTTCTAATGCTGTGTCACTGAACTAAAGTTATGTAAATTTTCAAAATATTGAAGATTATACCACTTAAAGATATGTACTACCTATGCTGATGAAAAATTTATATTACACTAGAAGTTACATTTAGAAAATAACTTCTTTCAATATTGAGCTTTGTATTATCTGAGATTTAAGATAAGGATGTTAGAGTTCTTTAGTTACAATGTAACAATGAAATAATAATGATAACTTTATTTGTATTTACGTCTGTTACCGTTGCATAATGTTACCTACTAAATTTGTTTTTGTTGATTTAAAATATTATTTAATTTTTAACAGAAAACAGGTACCATTTTCCTATATGCTTAAAAAAAGTTTTTACTTGATATTCTTAGCTATATAATATCTAATGATCAAAAACAAACCTTCCTTTTTGTTACTGATCGTTTAATAAACTTTAAGTAAATGTCTAACATTTCAATATAATAGGTTGGGGAAAAAGTATTTTCGTATTATAGAATGTATGAACTTGTAATGAGATATCTTTAGCCATCAGCTCATTATCCATTTGTATCTGGCTGATTTTGGTATCATTAAAAAGTTAAAATTTTAAAGAAGAATAATCCAAATTACAATTAAAAAATGTGAGATTATCATTATTTACTAAATTTTTTTATTGTCAATAAATAAGGCTAAATTTTCTTATTGTCAAGATGAGTGAATGTAATAAAGCAATTCGGTACATACATACATACATAAATTTTCTTTAGATTTAAACATCTAGCAGTTACAACATGCTTAAAAAAAGAACTATAATTGCTCTTTCTTCTTTCAAATGTTTAATACTTGTAAAGGAATTCATTTGACATTGTGGGGGACCCACAATGCGAAGATATGACGCTTCTTTGCAGCTTAAGAAAGGCCAGAGAAAATTCGACACGGCCATCAGGGCCGCGGTAGCATAATGGTCAGTGCATTCGCCCGGATAGCGAAGGGTGAGGGTTCGAGTTCCGTTTGCTGCCTGGACCGCGTGGAAGTTTTCCTAGTAAAAAATTCTTTAGCTTTAAACATCTTGCAGTTACATGCTTAAAAAAAACTATAAATCGATACATTTTAAAATTTTACTATTAAAAAAGGTAAAAATGCAACGCAAGCCGCGAATTATATTTATAGTACAGTCAATCTGTCGAAAAAAATATCATTTCAGTGAAAAAAAAACCTAAAGGGTAAGACTTGTTTTTTCTGTTGCCAAATGACGTCAGTAAGCCACCTTGGCGATGGGCATGCTCAACTCGTAGGCGTTTTTTGAAAAACTTTTGAAACGCATTTTTCTTGTTTTGTTTGCATTTTAGAAACTTTTTTTTCGAACATAATTGTAGAGGGCGTTGAGTACTACAATTTATGTCATTGTTGCAATCTCGTACAACAAAAAATGCGCATTGTAGGTGGCGCTAGTCTCAAAAAAGTGTTTTTTCACTTTTTCACCCTGAAAATATCATTTGCATGGAAATAATACTGAAAATAATTTGCAGTGCACATTTCAATGTACGTTTTACTAATTTTTATTTTTTTTCATGATTGAAAAACAAAAAAAAATAAAAAAAAACAGTTTTATTTTTATTTTTTTTCATGATTGACAAAAAAAATAGTAAAAACGTACATTGAAATGTGCACTGCAAATGTGTACTTGAACTGCCCAAAACCGCTCTATTGGATTTTTCATACCAGCGCAATTTATAACTTGAAAACGGTAAGTAATACAAAAAAATTGGTTATACAAAAGTTGTTGGTAATTATGTACGAAACAACTTTTCCATTTAAAGTTTTCCATTAAAATGATATTTTCAGGGTGAAAAAATGAAAAAACACTTTTTTTGAGACTTTAGCGCCACCTACAATGCGCATTTTTTGTTGTACGAGATTGCAAAAACGACATAAATTGTAGTACTCAACGTTCTCTACAATTATGTTCGAAAAAAAAGTTTCTAAAATGCATACAAAACAAGAAAAATGCGTTCCAAAATTTTTTTGACGGTTTTTTTGAGTTTTTCAAAAAACGCCTACGAATTGAACATGCCCATCGCCAAGGTGGCTTACTGACGTCATTTGGCAACAGAAAAAACAAGACTTACGATTTAGGTTTTTTTTTCACCACTCAACCTACAGATTGACTGTACTATTATGATATTTATGGATCTAGCGCAGTGTCTGTGAGAGCATCACAAATTTGGTTAAAGCATTTTCAATCTGGAAATTTTGATATTAAAGATGCAGGTCAGGGAATTTATCAACTAGTATATGAATTCCTTGGGAACTAAATAATTGCTTTTCAATTAAGAAGAACAGCAATCATTCATTAGTGACAAGCAGTAATTTAGTTTCTTGTTATGTAGGTAATGATGTTCGGGTTTTAATTTAAGTGTAATAAATGTAATGTTATACATTATTACAAAAACCTTTTAAATATAAATAAGGAATATTTATTTGTTTCTTAGGTTTTCACGCACATCACTCATTAAATAAAAACTAGTTTTATTTAAGGAATGTTTGTACTTAATATAGATTAAAATTATGATGAAACTAGTCTTTTTCAAAATAAATTTGCATATACGAGTAACTTATTTATAAAAATAAGCGTACCTGAAGGTGCGTCGCACCTTACCTTTTTCATATTTTTACATGTTCTTGTATATAAGCCACTCTTAATAAATTCGAAAGATGATGTTTTGTGAAGTTTAAATAAAAATGCTTTGAAATTAAATAATTCCTTATTTTATTTATACTTTTCTTGTAAAGATTAAATCTTTATTATCATTTATTCTTTCTTCATCCAAACCAATGAGAATTAACTTTATGAGAAGTTTTTTAAGAAGATTATGAACTAATGGAAAATACCTATTTTTGCAATAACAATATCTGATAATCCATAATTAAACATGTAATAATATCACATTGATTTGAATCACCCAGAAGCAAATAAAATTCCGCCGAAATATTATTTCTTTATTACAAATACCTAAGTCTTACAAAATTAGTGGTAATCCTTTGTACTAATATCAATAGATAATAAAGATAAGTTTTAAACCTTACTTAGATATGAAATATTAAAATAACGCTGAAAAACAAAACAAATAGATAAGCCTGTTTGAAACAAATTACTACAGTGTTCGACGCAAGCTATATAAAAACATCCCTTAAAAAAAATACATTTTGTAGTCATTGTAAAAGCAGTATTATTATAAAAGGCACGCTTGATAAATAATAGATTACTTATTTGTATTTTTAAAACTGGATGAAATGTGTATTTCAGCGGGATGTAAATTACATATGAGTTAGATTTTTTTTATTTACTAGACAAACCTTAAAGGTTCTCATGACTTATTGTTTTAACTATAAAAAATACAATACAAATTCTTTTTCAATATTTCGATCCTAATTACTTGGAAAATAAGAACCACTTCGCGAATTAAAGTTTTTGTTCGTGAACAAATAATATATTCACAGTAAATATACACAACATTCAATGTGATTTGACATAGTATCACAGATACCAAGATAAACATTTAATGATTCCGATTTAAGAACGCCCATTACAAACAAGTGACTTCAAAGTTCGTCTCACATATTAGGAGACTTATAACATAAGTAAGATCTAATATTTAAGGCCCCGTAATATACGAACTTATAATCTACGTACCTATCCTATCCCGAGATATCGAAATCTACATAAATGTTTACAAAACTCTACAAAATGTACAGTTAAACTTATCATAGACTTTTGATAATTCTTCATTGTATTAATTAATTAATTTATAAAAACAAACGCTGCTAACAATACATTAGATGGTAAACTTATTTGCAATCGTACAAGTAACTTCAACCACTATAACATTATCTCCTTGATGTAGTTTATGTATTCTAATGCTAGCACCCGTTTAACAAATATTCGTATTACTTAGAATGTATACATTCGCAGCCAGTTGTTAGTAAATAATTCCCAAATTTTACACTTCAGTGAACCAGAGAATTACCCTGAATACACATTGCAGTTAAGAGTACTTTATCGTGTCTTGCACACTGAGATTTATCTTTGGACCCTAATTTTAAGATGTTAACAAAAGTATAGTTGTAACAACATTTTTACTCGAAACTTTGGTTACACGTGCGTATAAAGTAAAGCCTTGATTCAAGATACTACCAAGTTGTAGTTCATGCCTTAGGTTGGCGGAGAAAGGGACAATCTCCTCAATTCCGCATAAGTTAAGGCAAGATCATCGGTATATGGACAAACAATATAAAAACATTGTTTCAAAATACATAAAAGGGGTTCGAGTGGTCATTTCATTAATATTCACGTATATCTCGACGACCAAATAGTTGACGATTCAGTCGTAGAGTATCAACCGCACTAAATACTTTTGAAGTGCAAACGCGTTGGTATTTTAAATATTTTTAGATGGCCGAAGTGTCATTAAAAGTCACCGAAAGTCACGAAGTGTCCCTAGACGATTTTGGCAGCATGACATGCATTTTTATCTTGCAGAGCATGTTATGAAGCTTAATCGTCTAGAGGCCTGTAGAGGATTTCTTATAGACCGCGGGGTTTTTCGGCAGTGGGTATAGTGTGATTCAAACTTCATGGCGGCTGTGAAGTCAATTATGCTCAAGTTTCAGTTCAGTGACGTCATAGACAGAGAGAATGGGCTGAGTATTTCTTAGTCAGCGATCAGATATATTTAATCGTGAACTTCTGGTCACTCGATCGGTTGGTCTCTTTCTTGCATTTCTGCTTGTTGGTCGCAAGATATTTCTGTCTCTTTCTAGAGAGTAATCAATATTATGCAGGTATTGCCCTATGCTTATGAGTGAAATTTCACACGCACTTTCATTATCTAACATTCCGTTGACTGCACCGTGACTTGCGCTAACTTCATATCCAGCATTAGGTTTGAAATCACTTACTAAAGCTCCAGGCAAACATCTTGAACATAAACCACAGACAACGAAGCATGTGCTGTGCAGTAGCAATATAACATCAACAACGTCTAAGTTGCAAATTAAAATTGATGCAGCAGCTATACTATCTTCGCGTCTCGACTCCCTCATTTTAAATCAGGTGGAATCCACATTCTCTTTTTTGTTGTTTTTCGTCGTCTATTGCACACAAAACTGTTAAGGCAAAGCCCACATTTTGAAATTTAGACAAATTTGGAGCCATTTCTACAACACGGTTAATAATACAGTCCGCGCATGATACTAGTGCACACGTGTTTTCACGCCAGAAGACGGCTCGCGATTGCATGTTGGCGCGTGGATTACATCCGTGTAGTCGAAAATCATAACCCGGATGGAAACCAACTTCCCACCAAGGTCACCTTGGTTGGTACGCTGGATTACATCCGTCTAGAATAGGTCTTAGAGATGATCAGAGCTTTTGACCTTGTTTTACGTAAACAATTACTTTCTAAACTAGAACACTACGGTGTTGGGTCACTACGAGGTTTTGCATTAAGTTGGCTAAAGTTATACTTGCAAAATAGGGTTTAGAGAGTGGAGTAACTTATATTAATAAATTTAATAATAAACAAGTAAAGCAGTCGGAATTTAAGACTACAAATTTGGGTGTCCCTCAGGGGAGTGTGCTTGGGCCCTTGTTATTTCTTGTTCATATAAATGAATCCACTAACCAACAAACTGTTTTATTTGTGGATAACGTCTCTGTACTAGTCACAACAAGAAAACAAAAAAGAACGAGCAACATATACAGGATATAAAAACAACTCTAAAGCAAATATTAAAGTGATTTGATAAAAATAATTTAAACATTAATCTGACCAGACGATTATATTAAACTTTAATAATCTAAAAAAATAATCTAAAAATATTGATTTCAACGGAAAAATCCTATCAAGCCCTAAAAAGGCATATTCTTAGACCATGAAATAAACTTGAAGCTGAACTGGAAAGTGTCTTTCGGATGGTATCAGAGACATTGGGCGGGATCCGCGCTTCATTAGTGTCGTCTCTGTAAGGAAAGCGGGCGATGTAGGTTACGCGGGCAGCGTGTTTCTCTATATATAGTTTTTCTCAAGATGTTTGCCGTTAATTTTTGATTTTACTTAAGATGTTTGCCGCTATGTATACTAGAATAATCTTAAAGGCATATCAGACTTGTCGGTCGCGTCTTTCGGGTGGTACCAGAGACATTGGGCGAGATCCGCGCTTCATTAGCGTCGGCTCTGTAAGGGGAGCGGGCGATGTAGGTTACGCGGGCAGCATATTTCTCTATCTATAGTTTTGCTCAAGATGTTTGCCACTATGATTTGATTTTACCCAAGATATTTGCCGCTAAGTATACTAGAATAATCTTATAGGTATATCAGACTTGTCTGTCATGTCTTTCGGGTGGAACCAGGGACAACGGACGGGACTCGCGCTTCGGTAACGTAGTCTCGGTGAGAGGCGATGGAGAATCAGGCGGTGTAGGAGGTGCAGCGTGCCCTACTGGCGACGCGTCCGGTATCATCATGCGGACGAAGTCTGCTATCACTTGGTACGGGACTAGCCTGAAATGTATAATAAAGTCTATTAGTATCGGATGCTGATAAGTTTAGGTACGAGTAGTCTATTTCGACGCTATGGTATTGTTTACGTATGTAAGTTAGGTTTAGCATAAAATATAAGTTGAGGAGTTGGCGAACAAGACGGTATAATTACATAAAATTAAATTTTACAGGAGCTGTATAAAACCGAATGACATACCTATAGTGAGCTTTTGGTATAGTTTTAATTTATAAATTTAATGATTTTAGCACTGTTTTAGGCGGTTTTGATTGAAAATTATTTGAGATTCAAATTCAACGAGCCCGAAACCTCCGGACTGTAAAAAAAAGTCGTTTTTCGAGATACGTAATTATATCGTTTTGTTCGCCAGCTCCTCAGTTGTTAAAGTTTAATAAACTGAAATGTGCATAAAAAAGCATTGAAGCGCATTTCAGTTTATTAAGTCAGTGGCTGTAATAAACTAAATGTTTAGGTATGATAAGAAGAAACACATAGTATAATATACAGAGGAAATAGATAAGCCATATCACTTGGAATACTTTAAAAAGAGGAGTGAAATTAGAAAGAAGATTTTGTTCAAGCCAACAAGGTAAGATAATTGATGCTGCACCAGATATATTTACGTCTGAACCCCCCCGCTACTTAACATTAGGCGGAGTAGAAGTATTTGTTCAGAATTATCTTTAAAGAGTAGATTTTTATGTTAGTACTTAAGGATAAAACAGTAGATGAAGACATTTCTCAGTTTTTTATATCAATATATACTGAGATCAGATCGAGCAATACATACAATGTGGTTGTACTTATATGTTCACTTTGTGTTTTTACACCACGAAATACGTGGTATGTAGGTATCTGATATGCAAAATAAAAAGGAACAAACATACATATATAGACCGTTAAACACATAACCCTGTCTGCGCGTCGCGCTTCGCGCTCTTGCATTGCGCAGCCGGGTAAAAAGGGATAAAATTGTAGTCCTAATATGACACTAGTATCTATTTATTAATTTCTAAGGCAATTTTGCTATACTTTGTTATTACATAATGTTATACTTTTTCCAAGAATAAAAATGTACCTTCACGTAATTGCCGAACTCGAGAGATGAATTGCTAATGTTATGGTTATTATAATAAAAACAGCCATCATCATCCAATTACCTGCTTACCTATATTTTTAAAATAATTTCCTGTGAATAGCGCAAGAAGCACGCAACTCCACATTATGTAAAACAATATAATCGCTTAAGTAGCGTGCCTCAAATCTTTTATTGTATTACAAAATTATGACATAAAAACCCAAATTGTCCAGGATATATATATCCAGATAGCATAATATTAGACTCATCTCAAACAAAGATTTATCGCAGTAGGTATGTAAAAATAGTCATGTCATGTTACAAAATAATAATGTAAAAAAAACGAGTGTGCTTATGACCACACAACTGAAGTGAAACTTCTTTATATGAGCGATATATATTTACTAGCTATAAGAGAAAGAGAGAAAGAAAATGTGCGCGCGCACAGCTTTCTCTTGCTTATTTCCCCCACTCAACTCCCGTTCGCCTCGCCCAAACACACTTTTCGTAACGCGTAACGAAGTTTCACAAATAAGGCAATTACCGTCTAAAAAAATGAGTTGAATGAGCATATTGTGCGGAACGTCGTTACAAAATAATAATGTAAAAATCTCAAATTGAGGACCACCTGCACCAACATTTTTAAATCAAATTAAGTCTTTACTATACTAGGTTTTAATCTGTTCAACGCATTATCGAGCGTTGAGCGCGCTTACAATAAAAAAGCGCGTTAGCATCTGAACGACTCGAACAAAATTCATGTACTTGTAAAGTCATGTTAGCACACGCGAAATCGCACACGCATTAACTGAACGTACTCTAAATCCAAATAGCATAAAGAAGCCAAGTACCATCTCAAACAAAGAGCTATCCGCAGTATGCCAGGTATGAAAGCGAACGGCTCTTCAGTGCGAATCGCGTGGACAACCCGGTCTGCCACGTCGTTGGAGCTCAGCTGGGGCAAGAACCTGAAGCAGAATAACTCGCAAGATTTAATACAGACACACGTAACACCAAGCCTTATACACTACAATGTTTACAGAGAATCAAAGATGCCACAACACACGATAGAAGTAGGGACGTATGAGTATTATGCAGACTGTCACTTTTGTCCAGATATAATAGTAACAAGTTGGCCACAAATCTAGCCTGTAGCTGAATTTGATGAAACTTTTCGATTTGCGGAGGATGTTGCTAACTTTAGTTGGACATTACAACCACCATGGAAAAAATTAACTGTAATTTATATGACTTGTCGATGGAATAAGCACTGATAGACTGACGGACGGACTTATAAAACTTTTAGAGTTCCTAGTTGACTACGGAACCCAAAAATATAACATAATTTAATTGAATATGCAGGAGAGAAGGCGAGGTATTATTTTTGTAGCCGTAGTTATGGTGGATAGATGCCATACCACAACTTGGTATAAATGACAACAGATAGATGCTGAGCTGGCATATAAAAAGCCATTTGTGAATGAAAATATTTTTTTTACAGCTCTTCAAGAACTATATTATTGTACCTACTTTTATATACAAATGTATGTAGACTTTTTCCAGATGATTTGTTTTTATTTAATTGCTTATATTTTATAATCAAACCACAACAAGCGATAAAATAAGAAAAAGTTACAAACCTGGAATTAACGTCATCAAACATGCCTGTAGATCTGATAAAGAAGGGGCAAATGAGCGAAGTTCTGACTCCCGTAATGCCCCTGTCCTGAAGTTCCAGCCTCAACGACTCGTCGAAGCCGCAAGCGGCAGCTTTGGATGAGCAATAGTCGACCAATTTGGGGACTCCTACGTAGCCCGCCATGGATGCTATGGTGACAATGTGGCCGTCATTCTTTTCAATCATGGACGGCAAGAAAGCTTTCACGGTCTGAAAATTTTTAATATACAAAATTAATTCCAGCTAGATTAATTTTTCCTCTTCACTCTCGGGGTTTCTCTTATGTAAATCTTGTTTTGATTAATCTCATGATCATGAATTATAGAGATCCTTTTGGATTACAACTAAGTTTCTATAAATATAAGTTACTAAATATTACAATGGGCTAGATTCTGGCATGACTCTCTAAACCTGTAAATATTCTATTAAGTATTCTTATAAAGCTCTATACTATGTATATTCATTCAGATAACAAACTTACAAGTAAAAAATAAGGGATATTTCGACATTAAAATGTAAGAATATTGCTGTGATTCCAAAACAAGTGGGTGCAGCATACATAGTTATGTTATTAGAAGACCACAAAGTTTCAGTCCCGATTTGATACAGAAATATTAAATTTCTGCTTGGTCGGGAATCGTACCCGGAGCTCAGAGATATAAAGCAACAAATATAGCAGCATATTAACAATGAAAACAAAACTTATACGTAAGCAATCCAATTGACTGCGGAGGTTGTCAAATTATTGCAGGAGTATTATAACTATGTCGTACTATATTCAAAAAGTTCCAAATTACCCAAAAATGAGCCAAGATGTTGACGTCAAACGTCCTCTGTATGAGATGGTCGGGTGTGTCGAGCAGGTATCGCCCTGATACCACTCCCGCGTTATTGATGAGCAGATTTACCTAAAGATCATAAAACAGTTTGATTAATATTGAAACTGTGGGAATTCGAAATAAGTAGTATTTCATAGAGCATAATAAATTAAAAGTAACTTTAATAAAAGGAATAAGAAGGTCACGATTTTTAGTAGTTCCTCTAATTCTTCTAAAGGTGACGATTACTGCATTGAGGATAAAACCAGAGATACGCAGGCGAGGGACTTTTGTACACGGCCTTTTTTTGTTCGCCAAAATAGATCGCTTACAACTGCATTGAGTAGTGTATTAAAAATCCCGCGTATATAAAGTCCCGCGAACTACCAAGGATAGGACAAAAGTACGCGAGCGACCATAAAAAAAATACAATTCATGTGACTCGCACACAGACACAGCGAACTTTATAACGCGTTGCGCGTTCGATCCAGTTTAAAAAGATGGACCCAGATAATAGGTTAGGGAAAAGTCTTTTCGAATTATAGTATGTATAAACTTGTTATAAAATCTGTTTTGCTATTTGTATGTGGCTGGTTTTAGTTTAAATTTTACAGAAGATAATTCCAAATTAAAAAATTGATAAAATGTGTGCTTTTCATTTGTTTTTCTTACTGTCAAGCTGAGTGAATCTAATGAAGAAATTCGATACATTTTAATTTTTTACTACAAAAAAGGTAAAAAGACAACGCAAGCCGCGAAATATATTCGCAATGTTTATGGACCTAATGCAGTGTCTGTGAGAGTAGCAAAAATTTGGTTTAAGCGTTTCCAATCCGGAAATTGATGTCAAAGATGCACGTCGCTCTGGTCCGCTCTGTTACGGATAAAATGGATGCCGTTTTTGAAAAAGTGGAGCAAGATCGGCATATCAGTAGTTACGATGTAGCTGAAGAACTGGGAATTGACTACAAAACAGTTTTGGCGTATTTGAAAAAAAACTGGGTACACAAATAAGCTCGATATTTGGGTGCCTCACGAGCTCACTGAAAGACACCTAAGGAACCGTGTACTCATTTGTGATTCTTTATTACGACGTAAGGAAACCGAACTAGTAATGAAGAGCTGATAACTGGTGGATCGTGGATGAGAAGTGGATCATGTATGACAAGAACGTGCGAAAAAAGTCGTGGTCAAAGGCCGATCAGGCTTCACAGACTGGCGAAACCCGGGTTAACTCTCAACAAGGTGGTGCTGTGTGTTTGGTAGGATTAGAAGAGCTATTCATTATGAGCTGTTACCGCTAGGCAGGACCATCGATTCTGAACTCTGCTGCGATAAACTGATGAGATTAAAGCAAGATAAAGCGGCTGGAATTCATTAACAGAAGGGGTGTGGTTTTTCATCATAATCACGCTAGACCTCACACATCTTTAGCCACTCAGCAAAAATTAAGAATGTTTAACTGGGAGGTGTTAATGAGTCCATGCTTCAGATTTCCACCTGTTTCGGTCTCTTCAGAATTCTATAGGCAGTGTCAAGTTAACATCACGAGAGGACTACCAAAACCACTTGCCGCGGTTTTTTGATCAGAAGCCCAAACATTTCTATAGCAATGGGATCATGTTCATGACCCTACCTACAAAATGGTAAAAAGTTATGGACAAATTGGCACCTATATACTTTAGTTAAATGTTAATAACTTTATTAAAAAAATGTTTTGAATATTCATATAAAATGCTACGAGACTAAAAAGTCTCGTCGCATTTTATATGAATATTATTATTTTATATTAATATTTTAGGTTGGACTTTTGTCCAAAATTGGCTCAAAAACTTAAGATATTAATATTAATTAATGATAGGGTCGCTTGCCAGACGAGTATAGTAACACTGAAGTCTAAAATTTTCACTTAACCCACCGTTTTTCACAAGAAGCTAAGATTGAAGAAAAAATTTAATTAAATTAACTAAAAGAATCAACGACTATCTTAAAAAAAAAATATGTAGCAGACAATTATGTTTGAGTTCTAATTGTCATAATTATTCGAACAGGTGTTATTTCCATTATTGGATTGTTTACGTATATTAACATTGTCAAGACCGAGTCCGTAGTGTTTCGTTCATTTTTTACAAAAGCTTAACTAACGTAACGTAATCATTATATCGGTACTTTAAATGCGCCTTTGTTAAGTGTTAAAATTGACACATTATTTTGGCGTCGTGTGAAACAATGCTTACCTATTGTTCTGAAGTGCGTGTGAACAATGCACAAGCACTTAAAATATTTGAGTACCTATGCACCTCAAATTGGTAGTCTCATGATTATCTTATCTAACCATATTTCTGTATGAACTATCGCGTGTAGATGGATAATAATTTAAGTATCGAGTTTATAAAAAAATATGAGATAAGTACATACACACCTACCTGTGTTTAAAAATTAAAAGCATTCGACTAATATAGGTATTGTTATTTCTAAGCCCTTTAACGTAAAAAATAGCAGTTAATTTAACTGCTATGTTTTATGTTAAACGGTTGGCAAACAAGCCTATGGCCCGCCTGGTGGTAAGCGGCAACCATAGCTTATAGACGCTTGCCATACAAAAAATATCCTTTGCGCCGGTGCTTACCCTGACCTAATACCCTACCCGTGGAACCCTGGAACCTTACTCACCAACAGAAACACAACACCACCAAAAGGTAGTGTTAATTAACTGTGGTCTTCTCTAAGTTGGAGGTTATTTCCCCAGGCGGGGTCCAATACGAGCGGCAAATCCGCAATGCCCTACATCTCTTAATCTGCTGCTCTGCTAGATTTAAAAATGGAAAGAAATTTTTACTAGTAAAATATACTATTGGCTTGCTACCACTAAGCGAATCAAGAGTCTGTTTCATAGTCTTATTTTTCTTCAATTACAATATTCAACTACTTAAAGTTTACGAACGTTTCTAATGCCTTTACTGTCAATCATTCAGTCAATTATTATAATAATATTTAAGTTTATTATAAAATTTACTCGAAATTGTGTATTTTGATTTCCGAGATTACCTTATTCTAAAGATTGTAATAACAATTCAAAAAAAAGCTCTACACTGCGTCATTCTTAATGACGGTCACCGATTTTATTTTACAACCAGCGACCGCCCGCGACTTCGTCCGCGTTAATTTATAGTTTTTATTACTAAAATAAATCATTTTTTCTTAAATAAAAGTAGCCTAAGTTACTCCTTATTACATCAGCTACCTGCCAATAAAACTCCCGTCAAAATCGGTCCAGCCATTTCAGCCAAGATTAGCCGGAACAAACAGACAGACAAAAATTGTAAAAAATGTTATTTTGGTGTATGTACGTATATATATTCATATGCATGTAGTAAAAAGCGGTTATTTCAATATTACAAACAGACACTCCAATTTTATTGATATGTATAGATAATTCTTTAAGCCCCAATCTAATTCTTTAGGGTTCAAACGAAACATTTTTAACCTTCATAATAAAAAAAAATCCAAAACGTGTTTAGTGAATGATATTGACAATGAAATTCACCAAATGTGTGGTAATTGCTGTTCGCTCTTGATTACTGGACTGGCGATCATGATGAAACTCTATCATTGGGCAATGTTCCCGCGCCCGTTACTGACCTTCATAGTTTGTAACCGAGTGTCACAACGGCCGATGCATTTTCAGCACCGTAATTATAAAATGTGTGTGTAGTAAATTAAATTGTGCCTTCGTAATCTATACATATAATAAAATGGTAGGAAAGTCAGAACTGTATATTGAATATTATTTTTAAAAGAATAATTGGGATGTGATCTACATTTTTTTGTTTGTTTGTCTGTATGTATGTCCGGGATAAACTCAAAAAGTACTGCATGGATTTACTTCAAATTTAGCACGAATATTATTAAGAAGTTGGGTCAACATACAGGCTACATATTATCACGCTATCACCTACGGGGAACGAGCAGTGAACCTTTATTTCTAACTAACTCCACGCGTACGAAGTTGCGGGCGGCCGCTAGTTATTACTATAATACAAGCAAACAAATTTCGTTACTAACAATGTTAAGGCGTCTTGTCCTAATTGGCAACGATCGTACGATGACACCTAAATCCTAATACAGATTGAGAGCTATCGCCACAGCACAGGTACATTATTTTCATCTTACGATGAGATCGTACGTGTCATCGTACGATCGCTGCCAATTAGGACGACGCCTCACATCTCTCATTCAATAGTGAAAGCTGAAAGGGGTAACAGACAGACATAAACACGCATTTGTAATATTACTACGCGCCGTCTGCGATTTCGTCCGCGTTGACTTTGTTTTTTTTTGAGAATCCCACAGGAACTTAAGATTTTCCGGAATAAAAAGTATCCTATGTCTAAATCCAGGTCATAAACTATATGCGTACCAAATTACATCTAAATCCGTTGAGTCGTTTTTGTGTGATTGAGTAACAAACATACAAACTTTCACATATTAATAGGACTAACGGGTGTCCGAGACTTCTCCCTTACAAATTTCCACTCACCCCTAAATCCCCCATAAAGAATGATCTCTGGGATAAAAACTACGTTATTTCCCGGGACCGTACATAAACTAAATTTAATATTAAACGGTTCAGCGGTTTGCGCGTGAAAGTGTAACAGACAAAAAAAAATACAAAATTAGTTTATTTCAGTAACTTAGTAGACATAGACACGCATTAATAATATTACTAGTGGCCCCTCGCGATTTCATTCGCATACATATGTTCCCATAGGAACTTAAGATTCTTCCGAGATAAAAAATATAATGTCTTAATCAATAAAAATTTGCTAGAATCTGTGCGGAAAGAGAATGGGCGTGGCGAAAACCGGAACTAACATTAAGATTTTTAATTGGCAATCAAACCCAGCAATCTGTAAAATGTCAAAGATTTGTTTGTTGTTGTGATTTCTTGCGGTTTTTTGTATTTAATCATGTCTAAAGGGGTAAAACCTTACAAATACGGTAGAAAAGCACTACAGGGCCCTCCAATCTAAATCCCATTCTCTTTCTGCACAGACTCTATGCATATTATATATATATTATTTATTTATTATTTATTTATTTATATAGTTTATGACCTGTCATAAACTATTTGCATACCAAATTTTATACCAATCCGTGCAGTAGGTTTTGGCGTGATTAAGTAATAAACATACAAATTTTCACATTTATAATATTAGTAGGCTAGTATGGATGGATGAAGCGGTGAAGTCGTTCGACGGGAATCTCGCGGTTCAGCACTTAACAGCGTAGAGGGTATTCGCAGGGTTTTTTAGCGGATAGTGTGCCGCAAGCGCTCGTAAACAGCGCGGACTGCTTAACGGCTTTTCCGTTTCGCACCCGTGAGACTTGCGAGAGGCTAGGAGCGAGGTCCGTTCGTTGGTGTGCCCCTTAAGGGCGCCAACGTCTGTAAACAGAGGTTTTGCCTGCGTAATAAAAAAACATAGTATGAATACGAACCCTGCCGACTTCTAGGTGCACCTGCTTAGCGACTCGATATATATCCTCCTTCTTGGCAAGGTCTACCACGTAGCCGCAGCATTGGCCACCAATACCCTTCACCAATTTCACAGTGTCTTCTAACCCTGGAAAGACAGATAAAATTTGATCAAATATCAGTTATAGGTGTGGGTAATGTAATGGCGGGATTACATTTGGTCGTTAGGCCGAATACGAGTGCCAATAAAATTCGGGTAAACGACTGAGTGTAAATGAACGAAGTCGAGTGTCGAGTAGGCACGTATTCGAGTAGTTTTCGCTTTGATTACCCGTCACCGCCTTCCAGCCCGTATTTCAGTGTTTGCTTTGGGTGCCCGAATTTTAGTTAGGTCCTTCGTGTACCCGAATACGGGCTAGCGACCAAGTGTAATTGAGCACTTTCCGTTGACTTGGAACTATAAAATTTGGCAAGTAATATCTTCTTATACTGCAAGTACCTATAGGAAAAAAACGAGCGAGCCTTACAGTAGTCACGTATGTGTAACATTTGAAACCTAACGTTCCATTAGTAAAAAAAAGAAATAAAACCAACTACAAAAGGAATAAGCCATCGCGACTTCCTGTTACACACTTCCGTCCCATTTCACGAAATCACTCCCACAAATTGCAGGAAAGCGAGAGGAAAGAGGTTTCATATCAAAAATCTGAAAACTATACATATATTAATAATCGTCGAGGTTAAGCAAACGGTGACATGCGGTCACAATTGTATAAGCGAACATTTTTTTAAAAATTTCATTTTTTTTATAAAAGAGAAAAATCCGAATGCCTTATATTTTTCATAAATCACAATAAATAGGGTATGTATGCAATGAGTGGGGATCCAAATCTTGAAGTGGAAGGGCTTTTTTAGCACAAGCGTACACATATTCAATAAAACAAATCTATACGGAACTGAGGGTTCCGATTTGTGGTAGGCGAGTCCTACTCGCACTTGTCCGGTTTTCTTCATTAAAGTATCTTGCTATGTATATATAGGTATAGGCAACTTATGTTTAAGTAAGCACTTCTGTTTGTTAATGTTGCACTTGTAAATTTAAAATTACGTAAATCGCCATACTTTACGCCATGTCTAATGGCACAGAACGAGATAAGTTATTAAATGAGTAGTATTTTGAGAAATTATGTGAATCGAAAGTATAAGTAATAGGAATTTTGAAGGCAAATGAAAAAAAAAACAATACATCTTGCACAATGGTAGGTATTGTACACATTAAAAAAACAATACCTCTTGTACAATGGTAGGAAGGTATTGTACACATTAAAAAAAAAAAAAAATTACATAAAACTGTTAATATTTTTTGTAACTCACTATTTGTGTAATTATGAAACCTTGACAATTTGAATTATTATAAATTTATTAAAATAAATCTATTTTTATAACCGACGTACTTTAAAAGGGCAATAGTTAAATATAATAAATTTAAACAATATAAATCAATATGTTTATATGGGAGTTTTTATAGTACGTTTATTATTTAAGTATAACTGTTCGCACTATTTTTATTTACCAAATTTTTAAGTTTCTCAGGTAACTCTGTGGTAAATTTTATAAGTTAATACAAACAATCGCAAATTATCAAGGCCCTTGCCAGAGCTTTGCAAGATTGCGAGGTTGCCTGGTCATCTATCCTTGGCTATCCCTCAAGGCTGCCACTGGTCACTTTTGGTCTTTTATTTTTTTTTTAATTTCACATTATATCGAAGATGATAAATCGTCCAAAGCGGCTGTTTGAGAGTAAAACATTTTTTTAAGAAAACACATTTTAAAAACCGCATTAGGAACTGAAAAGCCAAAAAATAATAAACCTTTTTTATGTACCATTAATTACTATGTTCTTAAACTAATGTAAGTATACTTAAGTAATTCTGAGTCGACGTCAAACAATCAACGAACAAAGATCACTAAATTACCTTAAAATTAAAGAAATAATAAATCAAATTAACAGCTTAATGTGAAATCTCCAGCAATAAAAATTAACGTTACAAAAAAGGCGCCGACTCCTCCGACTCACTCGGAGTGATTCGGGTTCTGTACCCTTAGAACGAACCAAAACCGAATTCGTAAAGTTTTCGAGTACGGAATGTCATTGTCAAATGTGTACTGATTTTTAGTTCTCGGACGTAACCGTTATGGCGCTGATGTTCAAGTTTCCATACAAAATCTGACAATGACATTTCGGACAAGCAAACTATTTGAATTCGATAATGGTTCACGCTAAGGGTACTGCTCACGCAAATAGTCGCTGGTGCATTCTTTGTTTTTTTTCACCCTCAGTCCAACGCGTGGCTTATATGTATACATATAAGTTAAGGCTTTATGAGCGGTTGGAATAGCGTAAAAAAATAGTACGTATAACATTGCGAGACAAATTCTTAATTACCTACACCGACAGTTTTGACATTGGTTTAGATGTTGCTACATCTAAGAAATAGATAATTGTTTCCTTTTTCCCTTTTCCTACTTTGCACGTCTCTCATTCTTCTTTCTAGTTATCGTTTCCGAATCTGTCCAATGCGTTCTCTAGATGTTTCATGTCATGGCTATGTCGAATGAGACACTATTCAAGAAGATTGGAAAGTTCCTTCATAGATGATTTTTCGCGGGTTGAGGAGCCATTAAAGTGTTATACTACTAGAACTACCTATTGTCTTTACATAAATGGGACTTTTGTTTCGAAAATATAATTAATTTACTATATAATTACATCTCTAAACTAATAAATAACGAAATATGACGACATTTAAAATCTGTTTGATTTACCTGTGAACTTGTTATTACATAGTAAAAATTGTTTCATTTAAATTAAAGAGACTATGATGAAACTTTACATGTTAATCAAACTTCAAAACGGACCGGAAATATTACGAAATTAGTTTGTTTATTACAATGTAAAACGTCTTTATAGTTCATATCATTTCACCAGCTGCTTTGTGCACTCTGTATTAGGGTATATTTTTTCTGTTTCTAAAGTTAACATAAAAGATAGAGTTTTATTCAATTAAAATTGAAAAGAGAGCACGAAGACACCAATTGTTCTTTTAATAATACAGCAAACATTGTGAAGTTAATGATTATGTGTGCATGGTATAAATAGTGTTGCTTTGTATGAAAGAAATTACCTACGTTGATTAATGTTAATGAATGTATGTGCCTTATGATGAAGAGATTAGAAACAACAAAAGCAAATGAAATAAAAAGACGAACCTTTATCTTAACCGTGAGACAGGTTTAATAAAATTAAATGTTGCTATTCCCTTTTTGTTTTCAAAGCTCATTCAAAAGTATCTTATTCTTCTTTTTAATTGCGTTCTTTTTTTCTATTAGTTCTCTTCAAAAGATAAGTACCATTTCTTGTGTATTAACCATAGAAATAAATCAAGATACGAACAAAGTAACGTATTTTGTATGAACGGGTATTTACTCATCTAAATAATCCGATTATAATATTAAACTACTGCTTATTTATCTCTTAAATATAAAAAAAAAAAAAATGAAAAAAACCGCACTTAGTTTTTTAAAGTATTTGGGGTTTTTTGTACACTTGTTTATTCAAATTAGGTACCAGATAAATGCTAGTTATGTAGATCTATAGTTATATACTTATGTGAATCTGCCGTATTTTAAATTTTTTAAACTTCAAAGTACGACTTGTACACATGATGATTTAAGTTAGTAATACAAAATAACAAAGTTTATTAAAAATAATGAGTAATGTACTGACACAAAACTGCTGAGATATTTTAAGCACAATATACAATGGTGATTGCTATGCTAGAAAGTTTTCGTTTAATGTATCAATTTCATTTTGATGTACAGTGTGAATGTGAAACAATGAAGGTTGATGTCCGCGTGATCTTGAACCGCGCCAAGGCTCACGAGAGCCTTTCTACGACTGATATCGGCGCTCATTAACGACCTCGGCCGGACGCGCCGTTATGAGATTTTTTTATGTAAGATTTCGACTGCAGTAGGCAAAGGGCCAGGGTCTATTTTGAAACTATTACTTAATATCACAAAAAATACGTTCATTGATGAAGCGTTTTTTATTAAATTTTTATGTAAATGTCAATCCATTTATACAAAATACAGGTTTTGGAAGACTTTAAACCCTTTTTATAGTTTCATATTTGGAATATTAACGACGCTTGATATACCAATATCTCAGACTAAACTTAATACACAGAGCTTAAAAGTTATATTTAAAAAATAAAATATTCTTTAATTTAACAGATTTAATTTTGATAAAGACAATATTTTTAGTCGATTTTTAACAGAAAAGTATAATGACTACTTGAAAAATTAATATGTAATAACGAAAAATAAAAGTTTCTTCTTCAAAACAAAATATAATAAGCCTACTTTGTTTATAACAATGCTTATACTTGTAAATCAAATCTGTGGTAAACGATGTTGGTGTCAAGTTTATTAAATGTATAGCGTTTTTAGTTCCCTTATAATGTGTTACTGTTTTTTTATACTTAATTAAATAAAACAAAATCGTTCAGTTAATTCTGATCTACTATGAAGAATAAAAAAATATAATATGGAAACTTACTTTTCGTTATGAAGTTAAAATATGTGAATGCATACCTTGTGAACTGAAGCTCCTAAAGTACATTTCTTAGAAAGTAACGGAACAAGACAGACCAAATGTGGGCGCGACTAAAATCTTGTTTTAAAATTCTATTTTCGGACAAAAAAAACAAAGTCTCTTTTTTTGTAGCATTAAATGTGTAAAATCCTTTGAAACATTCGAAGAGAATATAATCGTTAAATAGTTATTGCTGACATGTTATCAATTTACGACGTTCTTGTAACATTCTTATTCATTTAATAACCCAGTAATGGACAGCATAATTAATTCATCCGAAAGATTAATTTCAAAGATGTTTCAATCTGATATCAAAGCTATTTTGGTAATGTACTAATGTACATTTAATTTATTGACTTAATTGCAGTTAGCTGCAATTTCGAGGCTCATTGAGGTAATTAATTGGAGCACTATAAAAAATATTGTTCATTAATTGACGATACATTAGACAATGTATATTAAAGTTGTAACATTTTCCTTGCTCTGGCCAC